GAATTTTTCAAATGATATGAGACTCATCAAAATTCTAATTCCACTATTTCTGTTGTACTCATAGGTACATCTTTTATCAAGTTTATGATGTGAGTCATGTCAATTTAGGAAATATAGTCGTAGTTCATTTCTTCGTAGTGTCTCACAACGTGCTTTGTCCCCTTTTGCATTAATTCACTATAATATTTGGGGACCCCGTCGTGTTAAATTTAATTTCGGTTTTCAGTATTTTGTTACCTTTATTGATGATTATTCTAGTTGTTTTTAATGAAAAATCGTTCTGAGTTATTTTTTATATTTCAATCCTTTTTTAGTGAAATTAAAACTCAGTTTGGGATTTTTATTTGAATTTTACGAAGTGATAATGGTTGTGAATACCTTTCTCATTCTTTTAAAAATTTTATGATTTCTCATGGCATTCTTCATCAAACTTCATATGCTTATACACCTTAACAAAATGGGATGGCTAAGAGCAAGAACAGATATATTGTTGAAACAATTCACACTCTTTTAATTCATGGTGAGGTTCGTAAACATTTTTGGAGTAATGTTGTTCTTATTGCATGTTATCTTATTAATCGCTTGTCATCTTCGGTTCTAAATAACAAAATTGCACATTCTCTTTTATTTCCTCATGATCCTCTACATCCCTTACCTCTTAAAGTTTTTGGGTCTACATGTTTTGTTCATAATTTTAGTCATGATTATGATAAATTATATCCTAAATCACACAAATGTGTTTTTTTATAATTTACTTTATCACAAAAAGGATATAAGTGTTTCTTTTCTTCTCTTAACCGTTATTTTATTTCTAAAGATATCACATTTAATGAGTCTTCCTTTTATTTTAAATGATTTTCTTCTACATGTGTGTTGTCATCTATTACTGTCAATATTCCTATTATATGTGATTCTCCTGTGAGCCCACCTTCGGATTCTCCTCTGCCACCACCACTTCAAGTTTATAATAAAAGACAACAATCCCAACAACCACCAAATGACTCACTTCTAGTGTCAACTCGTTTGTCTTCTCCGACTCTGACAACTAAGTTTGACCTTCCAATTTCCTTCCATAAAGATATACGTTCTACTTGTAATCTCTCTCCTCATTATACTGTTTTGAGTTGTCATAGATTATCTCCACCTTTTTATACCTACTTTTCTTCTATTTCTTTTGTGTCAATTCCCAAATTTGTTGGTGATGTCTTAGCTCATCCTGGTTGGCGTCACGCCATGCTTGATGAAATGAGTGCTCTTCAGAATAATGGAACTTAGAAACTCGTTTCATTACTGTCTGGGAAATCTGTTGTTGGTTACAGGTGAGGGTGTTTACTATCAAAGTTGGTCCTTATGGTACTATTGACCGTCTCAAAGCTCGTTTTGTGACCAAAGGTTACAAACAAATTTTTTGTTTGAACTATAGTGACACATTTTCTCTAATGACAAAGATGACTTTTGTTTACTTATTCATAGTCATAGTTGCTCTTCAACAATGGTCTTTTTACCAACTGGATGTCAAAAATGCTTTTCTTAACAAGGATTTGTAGGAAGAATTTATATGAAGCAACATCCAAGCTTTGTTGCTTAAGAAGAGTCTTCTGGATTGATATGTCGTCTTTACAAATCTTTATATGACTTAAAACAATCTCCTAGTGCCTAATTTGGAAAATTTAGCAGTATTGTTTAGCAGTTTGGTATGACTCGCAGTGAGGTAGATCATTCAGTATTTTACCGTCACTCAAGTGTTGGGTGTATCTATTTAATAGTATATGTTAATGATATTGTTTTTACAAGGAATGATCACCATGGCATCTCCAGATGAAGCAACACCTTTGTCACCACTTTCAGACCAAAGATATTGACAAACTTAGATATTTCTTGAGGATTGAGATAGTACAATCTAATAATGACATTGTTATATCTCAAAGAAAATATGCATTGAATATTTTAAAAGAAACTAGGTTGATGAACTCAAAATCTATTGACACACCCATGGATCCCAATACCAAACCCCTACCTAATCAGAGGAGTCTTTCTCAGGTCCTAAGAAGTACAAAAGATTAGTTTAAAAATTAAATTATCTTACTGATACTCGTCCTGACATTTTCTTTGCAATTAGTGTAGTGAATCAATTTCTTAATTTTTCATGTGCAAATCATTGAAGTGCAGTCATTTGTATATTAAAGTACATTAAAAGATTTCCTGGAAAAGGTTTGTTATATGATCACAATAACCAAACTAAAGTTGTTTGTTATTCAGATGTTGACTGGGCAGGATCTCCTCCTGATAAAATATCTACTTCCGGATACTGTGTTTCTATTGGAGGCAATTTGATCTCTTGGAAGAACAAGAAACAAAATGTAGTAGCAAGATCTAGTACACAAGAATAATATAGAGTTATGGTCTCAGCCACTTGTGAACTTGTTTGACTTAAATAAGTACTTAAAGAATTGTAATTTGGAGATATCACTCAAATGACACTTATATGTGACAATCAAGTTGTTCTTCATATTAGTTTTAATCCTGTCTTTCATGAAATAACCAAACACATTGAAGTTGATTGTCATTTTATTCGAGAAAAGATTGTATCTGGAAACATTAAGACCGTGTTTGTTAACTTAAGTAAACAGTTAACAGATATTTTCACCAAATCTTACAGGGACCTAGAATTGATTATATTTGTAACAAGTTTGGTACATATGATTTATATGCGTCATTTTGAGGAAGAATGTTAGATATTTTAGATATTCTAGATATTATTAGTCACAATATATGTATTTACCATATTTACTTGTATGACTCTTAATTATAAATATATTACCTTATGTGTATTTTAGACACACAAAAATTAACCCTATACCTAGTTTTTCACTATATTTAACAAAAACAATAGGCTGGAAGGGAACGTGTGGGCAACAAACCTAATTTGTTTGAAAAAGAAGCCGCATGCAATAGTGAGTGAAGCAGAGTCTGCATTTGGGACCAATGGGATTAGTTGTTGGTTGAAGAGGTGCTCTAGATACAATAGTCACCAAAAACAAACTGTGGCAACGGATGATGATTGGACAACATTTTTTCGCTAAACAACACAAGGATGGGTAGAGCATATTCGACCCACTCTTATACCAACTTGAGATCAATGAAAAGAGAGAAAATATATTTTAGAGAGATTGAAAAAGGCTCTTAGGTTCTCATATTTATGCAATAGATGATGTCTCTATATGAGACCCAATGAAAGAGAGAGAAGAGTAGAAAACAAGTAAAGGCACCTCTAGGACCCTGGGTACAAATTGGTACAACTCAAAACAGCTTTCTAGTAAAGCCTATTCTAACATGTCAATATAAATAAATCTACATTGTGGTTTTCATTTCCTCTTTCTTGTGCAAAGGCATGAATTAAATTGTTTCCAAATTACATTGAACAGATTTGTAAACAGAGCAAGATATAAAATGAAGAAAAAGACTTACTTATTGGCTGAATTAGCATCACAGTAGCCTCGTAATGGGACAGGTACTCGATAATCAATTCTTTGATAACTGCTAATCCAAAAATCTAAACATAGTCAACAGATTGAAGATTGAATTTTTTTCAAACCATAAAATACAGCTAATAAAAATTCAGCAAAATAATTGAGAGAATGAAGATTGTATTATTAGACCCTGGTAAAAAATATATAAATTGTTCATGTTTGAAGATTCAATATTTTTATTTGCAAATATCATAGGAAGCTCATGGGTGGTTGGTGAAATATGAACCAGAATGGAATCTGAAACCAGATTAACAACATGATGTAGAGCTAAAAAAAGAAAGTTGAAAAAAAAAGTCATTAAAACAAATAAATCATCCAGTTTCTTAATATCCATGACATGGACTCCTAAATGGAGACATGGAACAACTATTAGATAATCTATACAAACAATCCTCTCCCAGATCGGATACAAAAGCTGAAAAGTGTACCTGAAAAAGGATTAAAGCTTAGTACACTAAAAGTACTATGCATTTATCTAGAAAGCCTACTCATCTTGGTCTTATACGAAAACCTGTGAAGCTCCTCAGAACAACTGATCCTAGTTCAGAGCGTACACTCTTGGAGAACATGTTTTTTACTCTTGTGTTTTACTGCTCTGATAGATATCCCTAAGCCGTTGGTCCTTGCCTCACAACTAATAGAGGAAGTCGAGAATGTCGTTACATTGATGGATGTAATTGTGTATCTAAGCCTCAGTTCACGTATTGCCATATGTATGACCATACTAAGGTTTACTGCTGTAGGATCAACATGATGCTCCTAAGAAAATTACAAAGACTAGAGTATTTTTCATCATGAAGAAAATCCATGTAAATTTTCATTCCATCGAGACACCCCAGTTTGAATTTAAAAACAAAGAGTAATAAGTGGTCTGTACAGTGGAATACTAGGTGAAAAAAAGGCTGGAAATAAGGCCATGCAGGCACCTAAAGTAAAGGCACCTTAATTTTCCAGGAAAAAATTAGCTCATGTCGTATGAAATGCTTTTTTAAACCTAACTAACATCATAACATTTTGAAAATTCAAAGCTAATCCTCTAAATTAACTAGGCATTCCAAGTCATAGTACCCTGCATCTTCCATCAACCATCGTCGAGGATGTTAACAAAAAGGAATTAGGTTAAGCTAGTCAGACTACAAAATGAGGAAATCTAAGAAAAAATGGAATGAAAAATAATTATTTAGATTTTCTCATCATTTTGAAAGAATAACACGAAATACTACCAAACACTTTTTTAGTGCAAATTTATGACTAGAATCCAGGAGATTATTTAGAAATTAGGAGTAAGTCTCACATGCGAGAATTGGGATCTTTGCGTGGATCATATCCTTTCTTGATCCAGAACCTTAGAAATGGGCCACTGGAAAAGTAGTAAGAAATTCTAGATAGAAGCCTGCAAGAGAGAATTCACGGTCACTAGCGATAGAATTATTGCAAGTTCGAAAAGCTAATCAGCTGAATTTACTTCAGTCACCTTCGGAGCATGCCATGCGAAAAGCTTAAGCCCTTATTGAGCAGGCGTTCAATAAGCGAATTTTTGGACCATATAGGTCGCTCATCAAACATTCTAGATACAACCATCTGTGACTCCCACTGATCTGAGCCTTGTGGTATGTATTCCTCCCAATTCACCTTTTTAGGAATCTGTAGGACAACTAAGTAAAACTAGAACCACAAAGTACATTTTGGCTATGTACTAAGATCTATTTGTTGCAAAATATTTTTTTCAAAATTATGTTAAAAGGGTGAGAAATATCAACACAAAGAAAATATCCTTATAAATTTTATAGAAAATTAAAAAAAAAAAATTGCCAAATGGGAAAATACAATGAAGATAGGATACATCAATAGTGAGATGCTAAAATTAATACTAATTTGCAAGGACTTTGTTGATATCAGCAATATGCTAAAATTAATCAAACAAGGGTTCAAATATATACCATAGAGTAAATTTAAGCAAAAAACAATTATATTCAACAGAGCTAAAACGATATAAAGTGGCATAATTTAATCTCATAGAAGTTTTCAATTTAAATAAGTTTGAAATATGATGGTTCTACCAGTTGAGAAAAGGATATCTTTAATGTCAAAATCAATTGCAAGAACTGGCTCCATCTCCGTGTCTATCTGCACACACCACAAGAAAAGTTTTTCTTAAAATAATGCATATGACTGATGACATCATAACAAAAAGTACATGGAATTCATTTAATTCTTATTAAGGTATATGTCACCTAGTATTCACTGATTTTCATAATATGATATTATCATCACTGGCTGAACATAAATGTCAAATTAACTTTATCACCTTGGAAAACAAACTGCCATTTAATTTAGTAACAAATGTTTTACTCGAAACAGAACAAAGGTATTAATTTTTCGAAGGAAATTTGGGTCATTCCTTTTTAGAAGCTCTGCTTCGCTATCATCTCTCTACTTTGTACAAGTCGACCATAATAAATGTTCCATTAGGTCAAGACCCTAGTTTTATTTGGAATTTAGTTTCACAAGTCACAGAAACATGAGTGATAAGTAAGCCAGTCAATACAAGCCATTGTGATTCTATTACATCCTATAACATTCTCTAATAATTTAGATAGGACGGTTTGGGTTGGATTCTTTTAGTTTGTTATCTTGTAAATCATTCTTTCTGCTTCTAATGCACTCTCTCAAGTGCTAAAAGTTGAAGGTCCCTATTTCATTAAACCACTCCCTCTCATTTCAATTATTTTATATGAATAGTGATTCTTAACAAGACTATTAACATAAGAATACCACGTAAATATTCATAAGCTTTATACTTCTTCATCTCACGATAAGAACCTTGGGAGAACCATGCTACAAAAGCTAGCCGCTGTAGTTGAAAATCCCAAGGGCTTATAAATCCCATATATGAATCTCATACTTTCAACATGGGTTCAAGCCCTATACCATGCAATTGAATCCTAACGTTACACCACACTCTACATCCCTAGCAACAACACGGGCAACTTGATGATACATATTTTGTATTCACATTTATACCTTTATTGCCTCTTCAAAGTACTTTTCTATGCTTTATATTCTATATTTTTATATATATTTTTTTCACTAGTACTAAATTAGGTTTGGTTTGAATAAATATTTTAATTATATATATTTCTAGCTAAATCCGACCTTTGTCTACTCTTTCAGCATGTTTGATGAATGGCAGAGGATGTACCTCGTCTAAGATTGGCAACTAGTCTAGCTCATTTGACAAGTGCAGTTGTTATAACTCATCTTGTAGGTGTAGCTCATCTAATGAATATAACTCATCTGGCGGGTGTAGCTAGTCTGATGTAGTTTGTCTAGAGGGTACAACTTGTTTAATACCAATAGCTCATCTAATGAGTCATTTTATGCTAGTAGATTGTTTGTTGAGTCGTATAATGTCAATAGCTCGATCGATGGGTCATCTGTCAATAAGTCATCAGATGACCATACTCAATGTTTCACTTTTTTGTTTTTAAGACTTCGGTTTGCATTAATCAAAGCCTACAAATAGAGTTGTAAAGTTATGATTTAATATATGGAATTTCATTTAGTTATATAATCTTAGATAGTGTGACACTCTTATATTGCGTTATATAGAGTTTCATTGTTCACACTCTTTCTTCTCCAATTCACATTTCAACTAGTGCTTCAATGGAAGGCTAACTCTTTCCATCAATCTACATATTCAAGATGATGTATATCTAGAATTGAGTTTTGTCACCAATTGTTTTACTCCAATTTAGTTCTTCTTTCTATAACTCTTAAAATTACATTTTGTGATTATGATTTGCTTTTTTGTGATTTAGACATCAAGTTAGATTTTGACTGAGATCTTAATTTGATAACTTGAGGATTAGATTGAATGATATTTTGATTTGATTTGTAACTAGTTTCGATTAGGCTATTCGATTGAATTACTTTATTAAATTGATTAATTGTTCAAATTTGAATTTTACATCTTCGATCCAATGATATTCCAATTTATATGCATCTAGATTTGTAGATTGATGTTTCATATTTTATTTTTAGAATTCAATTACATTTTGCAATTTATTTCAATTAGTTCTCTATAAGAATCCCCCAATTTTAATTTGTATAACAAAGAAAAACTAGAATTGAACCAAATTGATTTGTATCTCTCCGAATCAATCTAGTTGCACTCTATATTGAAAATTTTATAGATAACTTAAATGTTTTTGGTATCAAATCGACATAGTTATCACAACTATATACTTACTCTCCCTTTGGCTAATCCTCAACAAACACTAGCATTTGCACTACTTGTTTGCGACAAAAATTCATGGTGGAAGACCACAACATAGAAGCTAGTCATTATAGTCGGAGAGTCCAAAGCCTTATGAACATTGCACTAGCATTCTATGCTACCAATGTAGGATTCAAGTATCATACATACAATTAGATCCTAAAATATTAAAGGGTCTCTTTTCCTCCAAAAGTTAGTTGTGTTCTTGAGTGTGTTTGTGTGTACACGTGCACTATGTATTTTGTTTAATGTTACTTTTAATTTTGTAAGGTATTGCATTCTCCTCGCTCTAGATGTATCGTGCGTCTCTTCTAATTAATGTAGTTTATTATTCTGCCCCACAATATAAAGGTATGTACATGTTTATATGTATGAAATGCCAGGATGATAGAAGATTGTTCAGGCAACAAATGAGGTAAGACTAATTAATAAAAACTTTGAATCAATAGACTCATATTAAGGATTCTGCAAACAAGTAATTGTGACGTAGAGTCAAATAGACTCAGACTAGTCATTGACATGTAACAACGGTTACTGATATATTTTAACATTACCAAAAGGATTAAATTTTATGCCTATATCCTATTAAGAAATTATGGAAGTTATCCTTACCTCAAAATGGTCTTGTACAACTTCCTCTTGTTTCTTTTTTGAACTTGGCACAGCAGCTGGTCTCAAGCTGAGATAAGAAAATGATAAAGTCGCTTCAATGTAACACAAGATGAAATTCCCAGTCAAAACTTTACAAGGGTAACTAAAAAAATTTACAATAGAAACTTTATGATATAATATAACTAAAGGATAACAAAGTATAAATGAGAACTTCATTGCCAACTCCAATTTCATCACAGTGGAGGTAAAGACAGATATGAAGATATGAAATATCAACTTTAAGAACCCAGTGAGCATACTATACAAAGACCCCACACTGCAGAACAAAATGTACAAAACATATAAATATATAAATGGACAATAAATCAATCCTCACTGAATCACAGATGCAGTGCACTACAAATGTACATAAAATGACAAAATAATTTTAAACTAACAAAATCATGAAACTAAAAAGGAACTAGAAGAGCCAAAACAGAAAGAATACAAATACCACAATTAATATACTCTCAAGAGAGTCTCCAGATTTTTCCTCATCATGAAGATCGATAATAAGGTCATAGTACCCTGCCATCATTTTCTTTGTATGTTGAACAACTATGGTATTGCATGCTGTTCCCTGACTTCTCTCTTAAATTAAGTAAATGATCACTAACCAAGAAATATGAGAGAAACTTACACTAAATTTTCTGGCACATCTTTTGGAGCAAAAATTGGAGGCACTATAATCATAACTTCCTCATGATCCGGATCCATGAAACCACCCTTATCTATGACAGAACACAAAATAAGCCACTAACTTTTAATAATAGCCATTAAAGACACTTCAGATATTAAGTAACAGAAACATTGAAACAAAATATTCACCAAAATGCGGTTCTTCCAGCTCTGACCAGTTACGCTTCTTCCTCCGGGCAACATCAGCATGAACAGGAATCACATGCTGGTAGTCCGCCATTCCTTCGTATTAAACATATAAAAAAAAAACATATGTCCCTTAATAAGATGCATAAATCTAATTAATCTAAAAAAAACATTTCAAGTGTCTAACCATCAAAAAAATAAGCTTCGGAAACTCGAGCAAAGATATCAGCGCACAGACTTTCCTCTTGATTGCGCTCACTTTCCGGTTGATTTTCTTGCTCCCCATTTTTCACTCCAGAGCTGCTGGAAGCTTCTCCGACATCATGAACACATGGAGACTTTCTTTTCGAAATTTTGAGAAGCAGAGAGTTGGTGGGACGAAGCTCCCCAAATGCAGGGTGTGAATACGGGTCTTCGGGACGGAAACGGAACTCTAATCTGTTTGATTGTGAACTGCGAGCCTAAAATGTCACTCCACAAGCATAAATTAACAACAATCAGCGTGAAGAAACTAGAAAGAAAAGGTGTATAAAATCTTAAATTGAATAATAATGGGCAATGACATGGATGAATTGATAGTTTAATATATTGATATTAGGGTTAGCTGTACCTTGACGATGCCTTGAATTCCGCCAAGAGTGTCAACAGCTCGAGAGATAGACGAAGGATACGCAGGATAATGCACCAAAAATCCTCGAGGTTCTGATACAACCCCTGAGATTGTTCCATCCTTTATTACTCCCATTGTTAAATTTTCAGCAAGACATAATTGAAACGATGATGATTAAAGGCAATAGCTATGCTAATCCACAAAATAGTTACGCTTAGCTTCAATTTCGAAGCAATGGAAGAGTGAGTTCAGAGTGTTGGCAAATTTTGGTGTATATATATGATAGATATTTAAAAATGTGTTAGGATATTTATTTATTAAATTAAATAATAAAGTGATATGAATAAATTAAAGTTTTGGTTAAAGGCATATCTCATGAAAATATGATTGTATAGAGATCATAAGGTAATTTTTAATTTAATTGTATAGAGACCATAAAGTAATTTTTAATTTGATGAGGAACCAAATTGAAAATACTAAAACTTAAGTAATTAACCTAATTTTGGTTATATAAAGGGTCATGATCCCCTTCTGAGAGCACACAGATAAAATACAGTTACAGTCTCGTTCTTTTCTTTCTATCCCCATCAAGAGAGAAAATCAAGAGGGAAATATAGGCGCTCTTCAGGTGAAAAGACCATAAGATCAAATCAAAAGTGCTCTACAAAGGATATCGTCATTATGGTCAATTCAGGTACGCTTTCACATTTAGTTTATAACATGTTTACAGTATGAGATTGTAGATATATGTTTGATCATTAGAATGAAGATCATGTTCAATTAAAGTTTAACCTAATAATTGATTCATGTTTGCATTTAACCCATACTTGATTCATGTTTGCATTTGGCCAATTCATATTCTGGCTAATTAATAACCCTAGTTGGAGAATAATCTTCAAATTTTATGAACCCTATAATCAAATTTGGGGGTAAAATCCCCAATTTTAAAACCTAATTTCGTATTTGAGGGTGAAACCCCGAAACTGCTTCTGCTCCTTCGTCTTCATTGGCCAATTCAGTCGCGGGGCTGCTCGCGACGAAAAGGGGAAGCATTGGAGAGGTTTGAACAGCGGTGGCTTAGGCCTCTGGCTAATTCAGCATTTCCAAAACCCTAATCACGAATTCACGTTGAAACGACGTCGCAGTGGCGAAGAGGTCAATGTTCGGTGGCGGAGGGGACGATGCGCTGGCAGCGCGGCTTGGCATGGTGTCGCCGTCGCTGTTGAACCAGGCGACACCGTCGGTGATGTCCGGCGAGGTGTCGGTCGCTGTAAGGGAGGCAATTTAAACCTTGATGCGATGAGCATTTTTGACAATGGAACGCTTCTGCTGAATAACATATTGCAGAGTAATTTTGTTGGATTATCTGGTCAAATGAAATTTGAGCCAGATCGGTCTCTCGTTCATCCTGCCTATGGCGTCCTTAATGTGGTTGGAACTGGCCTTAGGAGGATTGGTTACTGGTCCAACTATTCGGGTTTGTCAATCGTATCTCCCGAGATATTGTATGCAAAACCACCTAATAGATCAAGTGCGAACCGAAGCTTTACAAGTGTGATATGGCCTGGAGAAACGAGTATCTAAACCCCGTGGATGGGTCTTCCCAAATAATGGTAGACAGTTGAGAATTGGTGTGCCTATCCGAGTCAGTTACCGTGAATTTGTCTCACCAGTGCAGGAAACTGAGACATTTAAATTTTTATTTTTTTTTTTATGTATTCACAGCAGCTCTGAACTTGTTGCCTTATGTTGTTCCTTACCATTTTGTCCCATTTGGAGACGAACACAAAAAATCCAAGCTACATAGAACTTGTCAACCTAATCAGAATTGGTTACTTTGATGGTGCCATCGATGACATTGCTATTGTCACAAATTGGACAAGGGTTGTAGATTTTACGCAACCATATGCAGCATCGGGACTTGTTATGGTGGCCCCGTTCACAAAAATTAATCCAGGTGGTGGGAACGAGCTATGGAGGCATGATGGCTTACAATTTGGCCAAGATGTTGGGGGAAGAGAGTGGTCCCCAATTTTGGCAGTATCGCTTGTTTCTATGCTCCTTTATGTTTGGAGTAGAGAATTTTTGAAGCCCAAATCAACGTATATGGGCCTATTGCTCTTAAGGCCTTCTATCTTCCATGGGCAATGCTTGCTTTGGATGTCATTTATGGCTCGCCTCTTATTCTTGACCTCTAAGGTATCAGGACATATGTACTACTTCTTAACAGTGTTGCATCCATTAGAAGGTGGAAAGAACATTTTGAAGACTCCAATGTGGGTGCGTAAATTGGTTAGAAGGTGAAAAAATTGGCCTTAGGATGTGCGTGGGGATAAGGATTGGTGTTGGACTGCTCATGCGGTGATGACAAAGTTCAGATGCAGCTCCTTCATATATATTTAATTGACAAATTTCAAAACAATCCAACTTAAATGCATATATAGAAATTATAAATTTTTCCTTCTTTAGAATTATAAATATTTGGTTTTTCTATATAATTAATATATTCAAATTTTTGGTAGTTTAATATTTTTTGTGAGCAAATTGAGTCAAGAAGTTACCAAAGTAACCTCTCTTGAATTGGGTAGTTCATGAAAAATATTGAATGTTAGTGTTTGTGTATATTCATGCGAGTATTAGTCAACCCAAAGGAAGATTAATATTTGGCCGAATTGCATACACACTTGTAATGATAAACATGTGATAATTATAAGGATTTGCTTTGTCGATGATAAATCAATCCAAAGACTGGTTTGTTGTTAGACGTGCTTTATTGTCAATGTTTGATTATTACAACAAGATACATCTAGCGAGTTAATATTATCGTCCAAAGACTTGATATTGATGGTGCATTGGGTGTCCTGAGATGGGTTAAACCATTATTTGAATATATATTTTATTTATAATTATTTAATTTTATAATGTGAGCATAATTAGTTTATTTCTTTTGTTCTAATCCAGCTACAATTGTTTCTGTATTTGCCAATTTAAATTCCGTTCCGGTCCTCAATGGAACAAATTTTAAGGACTGGAAAGAGAACATTGATATTATTCTTGGCTGCATGGATATGGATCTTGCGTTAAGGACTGAGCAACCCCCTGTTCCTACGGATTCAAGTACCTCTGAACAGAAAAAAGATTATGAAAAGTGGGATCGCTCAAATCGCATGAGTCTAATGATCATTAAGCGCGACATCCCGGAGGTGTTTAGGGGCGTTGTTTCTGAAAACATCACAAGTGCCAAAGAGTTTCTTGCTGAAATTGAGCAGCGCTTTACAAAAAGTGATAAGGCGGAGGCAAGCACTCTTCTTCAGAACTTGATCTCCATGAAATATCAGGACAAAGGAAATATCAGGGAGTACATTATGAGCATGTCTAATATTGTTTTTAAACTCAAGGCACTAAAACTCGAACTCTCAGAAGACTTGCTCATTCATTTGGTGTTGATTTCTCTTCCCGTAACGTTTAATCAGTTTAAGGTATCTTACAACTGTCAGAAGGATAAATGGTCTCTTAATGAACTCATTTCACATTGTATACAAGAAGAAGAAAGGCTAAAGCAAGACAAGACAGAAAGTGCTCATTTTGCAAGCACCTTTAAGGCTAAAGGCAAAAGAAAGAGATCGGAGGATCCCAAGAAGGAAGTTGCTAAAGGTCCAGAACAAAAGAAACAAACTCAAGAAAATAAATGTTTCTTTTGCAATAAGACTGGACACATAAAGAAGCAATGTGTTAAATATCATACTTGGCGTGAAAAGAAAGGGTTGCCTAAACTACCGGAAGTCAACTAATTCTGAAAGATGAATATACGTTGAAAATGACAAATTGGTGGAGATGGAGACTATTGAACATTTTAGATTATTATTATGTACTGGTTTTTTATTTTAGATTTAAAAGACATTTTTTGTCGTGCCGTCTTTTAGATGAAATTTGGTTTCAGTTTCTTATTTGGACAAATTAGGTTATTTGTGTTCATTTGGAAACAATAAGTTCAGTTTGTCTTTTAATTCAGATATTGTTATAACTGGTTCATTTTTTGGCTAATGATAATCTATATTTACTTGATACTGTGGTCACCTATAATGCAACTCTTAATACAGAATCTCGTAGTATTAAACTAAAATTGGACTCCCGAACAGTAAGTAGTTACTTCATTGGTTATTCTGAGAGAGCCAGGAGATATAAATTTTATGATCCCACATTAAAGACATTTTTTGAGATGGGAACTGTTATGTTCTTTGAGGATATTGAGTTTGGGGGAAGAATAAGATTAAGAATTTTGTATTGGAGGAAGAATCGACAATAAATTCGAACCGAGTCAAACAAGTTACTTTTGATAAAATAAGTTCGGAACCTCCACAAGACATTGATGACAAACCCCATATTCAAGATGATTTGATTGTTCGTCAAGACCAAACTCAAGATCCTCAAGAACCTGTGCGTCATGAGCCGGGGATACTCCAGTTACTAAGGGAGACAAGTTTAGTCTAAATTAGTGCCCAAAGAGGAATTTGGAAATTGAGAAAATGCAACAGATTCCCCAATCGGGAGTTTGATGTATTCCCAAATATGTACGCGTCCAGACATAACATACATAGTTGGGGTTCTAGGCAGATATTTAAGCAATTCAGGAATAGACCATTGGAAAGCAGCAAAAAGGGTCATAAGATATTTAAAGAGAACAAAAGATTATATGCTCACATACAGGAGGTCAGACCAGTTGGAGATCGGAGGTCAGACCAGTTGGAGATCGCTGGATTTTCTGACTCATATTTTGCAGGATGTCAAGAATTTGTAGCATGCTATGAGACATCAAATCATGGAATATGGCTGAGAAATTTTGTCACAGGGCTGCAAATTGTGAAAGGCATTGAAAGACCACTTAAGTTATATTGTGACAATAAATCAGCTGTATTGTTAAGGAAAGAGTACAAAGTGGACAGATTTCCATAGAACACTTAAGGACAAACTCCATGATAGCATATCCTCTAACTAAAGGACTTCCGCCCAAGGTCTTTCATGAGCATGTTGCTCACATGGGTGTTACAGTTTGAGGAATTTGTGGTTTAGTGGGAGTTAGTCATTTTCATATATTTTATGTTCTATGTTTAATTTTATATATGTATACATTGTTTTTTGGACATATTTGGTTATCTATAGATATACGGTTTTCTTGTTCATTCATTACACTTTGTACACTAAGGTTATTGTATCGATCTCGATAAATTAAAGTTTGGACCAGTTGAAAATAGACGTGTACAGATCACCTTCACGTAATTTTTCATGCTACACATTTCATGATGAATCCATATCATTTGGTTATGTCAGGATGAGTAATCTTGTTGGTTTTAGTTGCGATGATGCAATGAAAAGCTGGTTTGGTTCTATATCCTGATATGATTAATGGACAGGACTTTTGGAATATGCTAAAGGAATATAATGACAATTTTGAGTTCATAAAGTCTAACACATTTGTAAGGTTGTAAAGACATATATATTTGTGACCAGTGGAAGATTGTTAGCAAATTTTGGGTCATGTATATATATATGATACATATTTAAATGTGTTAGGGTCATTAATTATTCAGCAAAATAATAAAGTGATCTGAATAAATTAAAGTTTTGGCTAAAGGCATATGTCATGAAAATATGATTGTGTAGAGACCATAGAGTAATTTCTAATTTGATGAGGGACCAAATTGAAAATACTAAAACTTAAGTAATTAACCTAATTTTGGTTATATAAAGGGTCATGATCTCCCCTTCTGAGAGCACACAGACAGAATACAGTTACAGTCCCGTTCTTTTCTTTCTATCCCCATTAAGAGAGAAAATCAAGAAGGAAATACAGGTGCTCTTCAGGTGGAAGACCATAAGATCAAATCAAAAGTGCTCTACAAATGATATCGTCATTATGGCCAATTCAGGTATGCTTTCGCATTTAGTTTATAACATATTTACAGTATGAGATTGTAGATATATATTTGATCATGAGAATGAAGATGATATTTAATTAAAGTTTAACCTACGACAGATACCTATCACTATACTGCGTTCCCTGGCGTGACCAAACAGCATCAGCGTCCGAATCTTTGAAATTGGGGTTGGACTTTCTGCGAACTCATTTGGGCTTCCTTTTTTGTGGGCTTCATATCATAAAGGTTGTTTCTTCTTTCCTCGTATCCTTTCATTCTGTACGCATATTTATTTAAAATGATAATATTATCTCTAATATAAATATGTTTATTTTTGAAATAAGTTTTTGACTGTGTTTTTTCAACTTACAGATTGTATTTTTTAAAAATATATTCTAAAAATTGATTTCGGAATATAAAAAAAATCATGTTATAACTTTTAGAAATGTATTCTGAATTTAAGATTCAACAATTTAGATTTTAGTTATAGAATGTGTTTTCTATAATATATTTTCAAAAAATACAATTTAAAAAGAGTTTCAGATTGTTAAATATAAAATATATTTTTAAATTGTATTTTTTTAAAATATATTTTAAATTCAACCATCCGAATTACTATAAATACAAATTAACTGATTTTTTATGGGAATTTTTATGCCATGTGATATTATTGAAAACATCAATTACTAACCTTAAAATAGAAATGATACTTAGATGAAAATGAAAGAGGAGTGTTGATATGGTGGTGTGATGAGAAAGAGAAAAGCTAATCTTAACAATACTTTACAGAAAAAGTAGTCATGATTAAAAATAATATTATATATTTAAAAAAATTGAAGTTTGCGATCTTGTTTTTTTATTCACTAAAAAAATTAACTATGACACTATTAGAAAAATACATGCACTTATTGTGTCCGATCTTTTTCTTTTGTTTGGAGCTTTTTCTTTTGCCAGCTATGGTTTATGTTTACGACTATTGAGAATAGTCAACAGTGAACGAAAACAGAGAATAGAGAATCTGCGAGTAATTAGAAAGCAAAGAATACATTAACTTCCATAGTTGCTGTGTGCTTCTTCTTTACAATGCAAACGAAATCAAACAAGATGAACCATCAAATTAAAATTCAAAACCGAAATCAACAACCATATTAAACCCTAAACCAAATGAACAGAACCCAATATTAAACATAGACGAACCAGAGCCGGGAGAGAACGAACTTTTCTTTTGCGTGCGGCGGCGAGAGAGATGCAGAGCGAAATTATGTAAAACTATAATTGCTTAGCACAAAATATGATCGATGTTCTCCAACTATAATCGATCATTCTCAATTATAATCGGTTATCGAAAATTATGATCGATTATTATCCAATTATAGCCGATCACTTTGACGTATATGACTTTAGATAGCGGTTATTTGGCCAACCGCTATCTAAACTACACTTTAAAAGTATGATATAAGAGAGCGGTTATTAAAAAGCCGATATCATAAACTTACGTTAGACAGTGATTAAAGCCTAATCGCTATCTAATATATATTTTAAAAACGGTTCTTATTAACCGCTATCTAAGGTCACTCAAGCGGAAAACACATCGCTTGAGCGAGAACACCTGGAAAAATGGGGGATTCTCGGGTTCTGCCTCGCTCAAGCGACGTTATGAACGCTTGAGCGACAAGTGATTCTAATATGTGGTGAACCAAGTTATATTTTTTGGCTAACTGCGTTTGACGTTTCGTCATTGGGTCAACACTCGCTCAAGCGATTACGTTATCGCTTGAGCGACTAAGCCTTCAAACAAGGGGGACTCTCGGGTTCTATCTAGCTCAAGCGACGGTCCACTCGCTTGAGCGACAAGTGATTCTTATATGGGGTCAACCAAGTTATATTATATGGCTAACCAATGATCACTAACTGACCATCGACTAACTAATTCTCTTATAATATTGCTTGATATTTGCAATGGTTATTTTATTTGAAGAAGTCATTTAAATGGAGTTTGTTCAATAGCTGCTCGTTGGTGTTTGGTCAACTTTGAATTTATATCAGCTATATACTCTGTCTCAATCTTGTGTCTTAATCTTATCTGCACATATAACATGTATAACATATATAACATACATAACATATAACAAATTGAATATTTGGTAAATCACTTTTTTTTTTCCAGTTGTCAAAGTATCGTTTTCGATAATTGGACCGTGGTCAATTCTCGCTCAAGCGAGACACCAATCGCTTGAGCGAAACAATTTATAATCGATTATAATGTGAACTAATCGATCATAATTTTAAAATAATCGACATATAATAGCGGTTCCACGTTAACCGCTATCTAAAATATACTATTAATAGCGGTTATTTGTAGAACCGCTATGTAAAATCTCGCGTCAATTCTCGCTGAAGCGACGGGTACTTTCGCTTGAACGATAAGTGATTGAAATATGTGGTGACCCAAGTTGCATTATGTGGCTAACTGTGTTAGACGTCTAGCTGTGATCAATTCTCGCTCAAGCGAGAAACCCATCCAAAAACATGTCATGATACAAACTCAAGGCCTGGTCCATTTTGTCATTCTTGCACAGTCCATTTATTAAAGAATTGAATGTATAAATGTCAGGTTTACATCCTTTGCTTGACATTTCGCGAAACAGTTGTAAAGCCTCTTCAATCTTCCCATCTTTGGACAGTGCACAGATCAAGCAATTGTACCCCACTGTAGTGAGACTCAGACCCTTGGCTGACATGCTATTCATATTTTCAGCCACTTCCTCTAATCTGCATTGCTTGCAGAAACCATTTATCAATATGGTGTACGTGATCACATTGGGCTCGAAGCCTTTTGCTACCACCTCAGATAAAAATTCAAGGGCAGCAACCAAATAACCTTTCTTGCAAAGTCCATCAATCATTATGTTAAACGTGTAGGCATCATGCTCATAACCTGCAGTTACCATGCTGTTGTACAGAAGATTCTTCGCTTCTTCAAACCTTCCACTAGCAACATATCCATTGATTAATATATTATAGAGCACAGTATTGGGACTGGGAATTTTGTTCAGCAAGGTCCTTGCTACATCAACTTGCCCCATTCTGCATAACCCATGCATTAAATATCCATAAGTCAGAGCATCGGCGCTCAAACCACGAAGGAGTATTCGGTCAAGCAACTTCACTGCATTATGTGGCTAACTGCATTGGACGTTTAGCCTGTGGTCACCACATATTTTAATCACTTCTCGCTCAAGCGAATCCGAAATTTTAGATAGCGGTTCTAGAACTAACCGCTATTAAAAGTATATTTCAGATAGCGGTTAACGTAGAACCGTTATTATATGTATACTTTTAAGAGTGGTTAAAATATTAACCGCTCTTAAAAGTGACACATATATGATATATGATCGATTTGTTCAAATTATAATCGATTATAAATTTCTTCGCTCAAGCGATAGATGTCTCGCTTGAGCGAGGATTGATCACAGGCTAAACGTCCAACGCAGTTAGTCACATAACGCAACTTGGGTCACCACATATTTTAATCACTTCTCGCTCAAACGAAAATACTCGTCGCTTGAGCGATAATTGACCAGAGATTATCCTTTTGTTACAGATTTTCTCGCTCAAGCGAAGGGTTTCTTCGCTTGAGCGAGAATTGACCCGAGATAACCCTTTTGTTACAGATTTCCTTGCTCATGTATATATATATATATATATATATATATATATATATATATATATATATATATATATATATATATATATATATATATATATATATATATATATATATATATATATATATATATATATATATATATATATATATATATATATATATATATATATATCATAAAGTTGTTGTGGATATCTACCAATCAAATCAAATCGTAAGCACATTTCATTAATCTACCGAGGCATTGAAGCAAGTGTGCATGCTTTCAGGAGAGGAGTAGGTAATATTATACGTCGTTTTAATTGTGAGAACATATAACTATGTCACCATCGTAGATTATTAACTAGTTTCAACTTTTTTTCATGTTTAATTAAAGATGTCAAATTGAAATTCTAAAACACAACTATTAAATATTCGAATTATACATAATTGTCTTATTTAAATTATTTGTTTTAATTTGACAGTATCTTATTGAAATTATACATAATTATCTTATTTAAATAATTTGTTTTAATTTGATAGTATAATATACTCTCCTCGTATATTATTGTTTAAAAATAAAAATATTTTGTTCTTATATCTATTATAATAATATTATTAACATTAATTTTAATATTTAAGTTATTATTTGATTTAGAATTTTTGATTATCAAACTAAATTTAAGTGAACTAACACTACTAAAAATTCTCATTTTTCATGGGAATATTTTTGCAAAATTTTGATAAAAATTGCAAGAAATAAGTTTTCTATAAATTTAAACAATTTTTTGCAAGAAAATTGGCAGAAAAAAACTAGTTTTCTAGTAGTGTAATAATATATATATATATATATATATATATATATATATAGATTTTTTGTGTCGACTTTTATGTAATGTAAGACTATTGAAAGTACTGGAGTATAATTCTTTAGTTGATGACTTAGAAATATAAAAGTAAAGCGGGACTCAAAACTCAGTCTTACGAGTAGATATCAATGTTTCTTTGAAGAACAAAAGTATCTCGATCTCATATATTATAATAACACCATTAACATTAATTTTTATATTTGATATATTATCCGTTTTAAAACTATCATCCATTATAATAAACACCTAAATAAATTAAAAGAGATTCAAAACATGTGAAAATTAAACATACCTCCAAAAATTACTATTTGTTATCTTGTTGATGAAATATTAAAATATCTAAAACCTTGCTTTTTTTTTCTTTTCTCTTATAATTTGAAAATATGTAAAACCTTACTTTTTTCTCTCTTATAATTTGGAAATTGAAATAGAGGAAAAGCGTGTAAAATAAATTATCATTAATAAATAATATAAAAAGTGATAAAATATTATTATTTTACTTAATATATTTAATTATTTATTTTAACATATTTCAGAAAAAAGAAATTAAAATTATAAATATACAATTTAATTATCATTAAATTTAAATGTTAAAGTTATAAAAAAGGCATTGAAAATTTTGAGGATGAATTGTCACTCTCCTTATATCGTGATAGATTTCATCACTAATTAAGTTAATATTATAATATAAATATGAATGAGAAGGAAAAAAAAATTAAGTAATTGTCTATGATTTATAAAATATTTTATCTTATTATAACCAACCAGAATTATGTATTTATTTGTGGAAAAGGATAGGTATTAACTTTGAGGTTTATACTACATGGTAAGATATTCAAGATCCATAATTAGGAAAAGTAATGGTAAGAATTTACCTATGTTTTAAAAGTAAAAGGAAAGACTTTTTTATTTTTTATTTTTTATGGAAGCTTTATAAGATATAAATAATTAAAAATTACGAAATTAATTCAACCCATTCTGTCGTCTTATGTGTGTACATTGACCACCAATTCAAGCCAATAACTTTTACCTTCGTTGCAACTTACAAAACTGACCTACTTTTGGCGTTGTATAAAATAAAATGGTGGTTTCAATTTATAAATGGTGTTGGGTATATTTTAAAATATTGCATCGTTCCACCAATAGTTGATAGAGAGTTGAATCCCTTAGTTATGTGTCGATTAATTAGATTTAATTAGAGTTAGATTAGTTAATATAAAAGAAAGTCTTGATCCATCGTACTAAACATAATCAAAATCGTCGTATCTAGGCCCTTGAAAAGTTCTACCACCACTACTACAATAATCAAATCCTTTTATGTAATGGCACAAACATGACACCAAACATGGTACAACTCTCTAAGAAGAAATTTGACAAAACGAGGATTTACATAATGTTCCTTTCAAAAAGTCGGGTGGTTTCGACATTCCTCCTGAATAATCAAGATGTCGTGCCAAACTTTGTTGTCTCTCTCATGTGTGTTCAGCCGTGGAATTAATATATACGTGACGCCAGTTCAGACACATGTTGTCTCCTTCCAAAACCATCACTAAAAGTGTTTTGACATGAAGGGGGAAAATTCACAGCGACCAGAGAAATATGTTTATACTGTGACGCATTAAATTGATAAAAAGGAAATTGATTAGTGGTACAACAAAATTTTAACGAAACCATATTTTTCAATGTTTTCTCATCAAACAAAAAAATATCCTATCGTATTCGTCTAATACATTAAAAACGTTTTTTTTTCTCTTATTTGCATATATGTTATTAATTTTTTATTTTTATCCTAGACTTCAACACACACTTTGTAAAAAGAAAAATAAAAAATCTCATATCACTTATCAGAATTTTCTAAGTATATATATATATATATATATATATATGTATATATATAATAAAAAGATTGATATACTATTTTGGTACTGTAATTTTCTTCTACGATGACGACGTGTAATTGTTGCAAGAAGAACATAACTAGAACCTTCACCATCACGGTGGTTGAGTTGAATGTCGTATTTGCCATGAGATGATTTTGTTGACCAAGAACTCATTATTTGTTACATAATATGGCTGTCTTAGTGCCACTTCTATTATTATTAAAGAAATTAACAATTTGCATTAATGTTAAACCAATACCTTAAAAAGATATTAATTCTACAATTGTATGCGCTGGAGGAAGATTAGAATAATTCACTTGTGCATAAAAAAGTATAATAGTTTTCCTCTATAAGAAAAAATTTAGATTTTTTTTCAACAAGATTGCTTTTATTAATCTCTTGTTTGTTTTAATCTATCCTCATTTAGAAAAAACAAATCAAATTTTAATATTTAAAATAACCCATTAATATCTAACAACCCTTATCATTACAATAAAATTTTGTATTATAAATCTAAAACATAATTTATATATTTTTTAAATATCTATTTATTATATATTTTGATTATTATATTCATAGAATTAAATTATTTATTAATTATATAAAATCTTTATGTAAATAAGTATTTATCTTTTATACATTATTACATAGAATTTTTTTATGTTTAATTAAGTTTCGATGCTAATACGAAAAATATAAATTTATATCAAACTAATTAATAATGTAAATTTAGGTGACTTCAACCGTGTGTGTATATATATATATATATATATATATATATATATATATATATATATATATATATCAAAAATATATACATGAAAAACTCGTTTCATATTAATTATTATAGAAAATTAAAAAAGAATTCGTTAGAGATATGAAATATTCTATTAGATACAGTTATTTATATACTATAAAGTATAGTTCTATAAACAAACATGGATTTTTCTCTCAGTTACAGGAGCAAAATGACTTGGGATATTATTGGAGAGTATTTTACAGGTAGGACAGATTGGCAGCCATTTTTGTTGGTCAAATCCTCCTTGAAACAGTGTTGAGTTCAGCACCAACTTGGTGCTTAAACAATACTGAAAAATATTGCCGTCAAAAAAACAATACTGAAAATTCTCCACCAACCTAGGTGGCTACTTTAACATTTAAGAGGGTCACACAAAAGTGTCCAAAATAATGCATGTTATGGTGCACTATTATTCCACCCACGTTTCTACATGGTTCATTTGAGCCATAATTGGCATGCTAATTTGATTGACCATATATGTTTGAAAGTGATTCATGACCCCCTCACTTCATTATTAAATTAAAATCCTAACTAAAGGCTAGTTTTATATACATGCACAACGACTAGCACACATGAGAATATTATATGTTGAAATTAGTCAAAAAAAAAAATGTTGAATTATTGTGATGCCCCCTTCTTCATTATATATACATCCAAATGTTTGAGAGGAAGTGCAGCACACACAAGGTGGAGAGAAGACAACAGCACAAATCAAGTGCAAAACAGAAACTTCAGAGTAGGTTGGTAGAGTGAAAAAAATGGCTGAAGCCAAGGAAATATGGTCAGCACCAATAACCCCTAGAACAATGGGAACGCCCTGTTGTGGCATCTCCACCTGTGTCATGTCCACCCTCTCAGCTTCACTCACCCTCTCTAACTAGGTCACCCCTTCTTCAGTCAGAGAATGGAGATGCACCACATCCTAAGAGTAAGACTCCTAAGACACCAAGAACCCCACTTAGGATCTCTAATTTGACTCCAAGATTTATCACCCCTTTGGGAAGCCCTATGAGAAAAGCTCTTAGGTTCACTAAACTTGATCCTCAAGATGCTTGGCTTCCCATCACTGAGTCTAGGAATGGTAACAAGTATTATGCTGCTTTTCATACCCTTTGTTCTGGGATTGGAACTCAGGCTCTTGTTCTCCCTGTTGCCTTAACTGTTCTTGGTTGGTAAGTCTCACATATAGTTTTCATTCTATAATATTCCAATAATAATACATCATGTTATTACTTGTAACACATCAATCTTTTATTCATTTTCTTTGTTGGTGTTGATGATTTTCTTTTTTGCTTCTTGGATGACATGTGTTTGTTTTCAGAATGAAAAATATCAGAATTTTGTCTGCAAAAACTCCTTATCACAGAATTGAAAAGATTACTACTTAAGTTTTACATTAAATATTTTTGAAGGTAAAAACATGTGAAAATTAGAATTTATAATTGTATATTAAAATTAACAAAATGATTTTCCAAACTTTAACCATAATCTTGCTCATCGTGATAGTTTTTATGTCTGTGAGAATCTCTAATGTATCAAATTATAGCTAGGATACCTGGCAGGTAAAAGTATAGCTGGAATTATTATTAAAAACAACCATAATAACAACTTGTATGATATAAAAACACAACATTTCATTATAATAGTAAAGTAAACGATGCACGTTTCAAGGACTCTTCTTCGATGTTTCTCTCTTTCTTCATTTGGGTCATTATTCAAGTAAAATATGGAAAAAACTGATATGTTAGGGTCCCATTGTGATTTCTTTATAAGGAATTGTACAATCTTGAACTAATTTTCTTTTTTTTTTTTTGGGTGTTTGCAGGACATGGGGAATCATAAGTTTGACTCTGGCTTTCATATGGCAAACTATACACCTTATGGCTTCTGGTCAATCTTCATGAGTCAGTGGAGCAGGGTGTACGCTACTGTAGATACCTTCAACTTTGTGGTGCTACCTTTGGTACGATTTCTTCGTGTGTTCACTATATTTTCTTTTCAATTTAATCCTGTTATTCAAACTTCAATCTTATTTTGAACTGATAAATTAATTAGATGAACTTTTTATGTATTTCATTTCAAATAGGAATGTTTCAATCAAAGATATAAACCAAAATCATTTTGGAACTAACAAAGTGTTGGAATGATGTGTTGCAGGGGAGAAAATTGGGAAATTGCTAGCTCTGTTCCCAATATTGTACCTATCAGCTGGAACATGCACCACACTGATCATCATAACTGCAAGGACATTTTATCAAGTGGTGTGTGGTGATTCATGCACTGCCAAACCCATGACCACTGTGGAATGGTACTTGGTGTTTACCTGTGCAGCTGTGGTGCTGTGGTGCTGTCACAGTTGCCAAACTTGAATTCCATTGCTGGGGTATCACTCATTGGAGCTGTCACTGCTGTAGGGTAGTGTACCTCCATTTGGATTACCTCTGTGGCACAGGGTGCCCTAGATGGTGTGAACTATGATCCTATAAGGGTTGGAAGCAGTGTTGAAAATGCCTTTGGTGTGCTTAATGCCTTAGGTATCATTGCCTTTGCTTTCAGGGGCCACAATCTCATCCTTGAAATTCAGGTAAGGGAACATCATCATATGTTGAATTTTATACACGCTTTATTTATACTCCTCTCGCACCAAGATGAATTTTATGAAAAAAATGAACCATAATAAGAACAAAGAACAGAAGAGATTTTTTTTTTACTCGTCACTAGTCAGAGACTTACATAAGCAGAAATAAATTGAAGTTTAACATTGGTGCTGCTTTCAAAGTAGAGATCAAAGTTGTTGAAAAACTTGCGTAGAATTGGTCAAGCATACATTGTTGAAGTTAGTGTGTATGACTTTGGTTTTTATATTTAGAAACTAGTCTACAATGACATTCAACCATGAAAGAGATAACGGTTAGATGAATTGGTGACTTCATTGTTTAATATTTTTTGAAAGTGACTTCATTGCTACTACCATCCAAAATCTCAATTATTTCAATAAATTGAGCTAAGATTAAGATATTGATTGGACTCAAGATAAGCAAGTCCCCATCACAATAGTTAGACAAGTGGATTTTTTTTTTCTTAGAATCAAAATTAAAATAATTGTTTATTGTTAAAGCATCAATTTAAAAACACATCACCATCATCTTGAATATTATTAAAAGTCTTGTTTTTTTTGTTCTTCTTGCAGTCCACCATGCCTTCAAGTGAGAAGCACCCATCACACGTGCCAATGTGGAAAGGGGTGAAGGTTTCGTACGCACTCATTGCTGCATGCTTGTTTCCCTTAACCATTGGTGGCTATTGGGCTTATATATGGCCAATTGGTATAAATACATCTAATCCTATTACTTTATATAGATTAAAATAAAAAAATTAACTTAATCTTAATAGTGTGAAATTGTATTATAATTCATTAATTGTGATTGAAAAATTACAGATTCCATCAAATGGAGGAATGCTGACAGCGCTATACCAATTCCATTCCCATGATGTGTCAAGATTTGTGCTGGGGTTAACAAGTTTTTTTGTGGTGGTGAATGCTTTGTGCTCGTTTCAAATCTATGGGATGCCAGCATTTGATGACATGGAGTCACAGTACACGACAAGGATGAAGAAGCCATGTCCATGGTGGCTACGAGCATTTATTCGTGTGTTATTTGGGTTTATGTGCTTCTTCATAGGAGTGGCTGTGCCATTTTTGTCTCAATTGGCAGGGTTAATTGGAGGAGTGGCATTGCCTGTGACATTCGCGTACCCTTGTTTTATGTGGCTCAAGACAAAGAAGCCGAAGAAGTATAGTTCAATGTGGTGTCTGAATTGGTTCTTGGGAACATTGGGGGTGTGCTTGAGTGTGGTATTGATTGCAGCTAGTTTATATGTTATCATTGATACTGGTGTTAATGTGAGCTTTTTCAATCCTCAATAGTCAGAAACATAGGGGAAAGAAAAAGTACTAGGAAAATTATGCTAAGAGAATTGCTAAGGTTGTCTTTCTTTTTCTTTTTTGATAAATTCAAATTTGTACCCTACTTTGTAGTTATAGGTTGATATATGTATAAATATCATTAACTGCATAAGGGAAGAGGAAGGTAAATCAAGGATGTATAAATTTCTTGTTTGGAAATTGAAATATATTTAAAGAAGAGTGATTGAAACATTGATTTTTATTTTTCTTTTAGTTTTAGAAATTAATTTGATCTTATATATTTTTGCACATTCATACAATGTTTTACCCTAAAATTTATAAAAATTAGTTATATTTTCAAATTATACTATGTTTATGTTACATTTAGTAAAAAACACTATGCATGATCTAATACAACAGTATATTTATTGGGTGATGAAATGTATGTTTTGTTTTTAATTTTTTAATGTTTATCTAAGTTTCATCAATTTGAATTACGAAAATTCATTAAAAAAAATTAAAAACCAGGTTATAGTTTTGAATAGTAAAAAAAAAAAAAGAAATAAATGTTTGAGGATATTTTTCATGAAATAGTAAGTAAGAAATTTATAAGGATTAATATGTAAATACTCTTCCATGAATTAGTTTGTAAAAATTTTTGATAAATAAGTTTGTTGGAATTTTCTTATGAATAGTTCTATAAGAAAATTTTCATAGACATCTTTAAGAAAAAAAAATAATGTTTGAAAAATTTTTCATGAAAAAAATATGATCTATGGTAAATAAATTTTTTAATTTTTTTTCCATAATTCATAAATATGATCTGTGGTAAATAAATTTTTTTAATTTTTTTGTTGGAGTGGTGTGATTTGATATTATTATATTATAATAATACTAAATTTTAGAAAGACAACAAGAAACTCATGAGACATAAAAAGAAGAAAATTTAACCACTATATAAATTATTATGTTTCATAATAAAAAAATTATGACTGCATTTTCTTTTTTCATTTATCATATATAATTTTTTTATATAAAAATGATTAAAATTTGTCATTTTTTTTTCCTGTTTTTAAAACGTACGTCATAATAATTATTCTGATAACATTTCTATTCTCCCTTATCCGATAACACCAAAAAATTGTTATAAAAAATATATTTAGAAACACATCTGTTTTAGAGTGTTTGTGTGTCAATATTTTTTAATATATATCTGCATTTTTTCTTACGTTTACATGTTTTATATATAACTCTTTTCATGCTTTTTTTATTTAAATGCCCAAATATATATATATATATATATATATATATATATATAATTTTTAATTTTTTCTCTCTATCATTTTATATTCTTTCTCCATTTATTATACATGATATTTTTTTTCTCTCTCCAATAAAAAAACCAATTATAAAAAAACAACCCTTTATATATAAGAGTAGAAACACAAACACTAAAAACTCATGTGTTCAAATCTTTTATATTATTAATTTCTTAAAATAATTATTATTTTCTTTTTTCTTTTATTTTTATTATATATTTTTTATCTCTACTTTTAGTTTCATATGTGTTAATAAATTTTTTTTATTATTCTCACATATTTTCATTTTCTTTAGCTTCTTTTCTTTTCTGTTGTGTTATATTATGTGCAGTATAAGTTGAATTTGAGTTCTGTTTACCGGGGGTGGGGGTGGGGTGTGGGGTGTTACAATCTCTATAATTTGGTGCTTGTGTTGAGATATTCTGTTTTCTCAGTTTCCAGAAAGGAAATCAGATTTTGTGTTCTTTACCATTTTCAGAGTTTACTAAGAGTTTTTTTTGTTAAAGATATAACATCTGAATATGTACTAAAATAAAATAATAGCCAATTTGGGACTTAAAGAAGAATTGTTAAATTATATTAATTAATTACTGATTCATTGCAGATACATATATAAGATGCTATTGCTATATTTGCTCTATTGTTTGCATAACTTCTTTTATGATATTTTTCCCAACATTATCTTTTTATCCTCGTCTGTTTCTATCATATCAATCATGTTATTGTGCACATCTTTCTTTTTTTTTCATCTCTTTATTATACTCATACAATACAATCTGGTATAGTCACTTTCTTAAAATAAAAAGCTTAAATCAATCTAAATCCATTATTTAATTCTATGACATACCTCAATTTGTGGCTTTTAGCATGAGGTGCTAAAAGCAATGCATGAGTTAAACTTTACCAAAACCATCAACATCTAGAGTTAGGACTTGCCTGTACTTTACAAGCCTAAAAGTTCAGGGCTCTATCCAAAACTTTGCAACATGGTACACCAAAACGTATAGTCAGTTTAGACATTTTCAAAGGGAAATCAGAGTGACACCTGTGAGGCTGGGATATGAGTAATTGGTATGTGGTTGAAGTTGGGGTCCCATGAGGGATACATTTTTCCCTTGATTGTTGTATTATGAGGAAATGTAGTAGTTGCACCTTTAAGGCTCTTTTATGGTAGGTCTAGATAAAGCAACATGAGAAAGTGTGGCATAAGGTTTGCCTAGTGTTGTAAGCATATTATTATATGTTTACATGTCTAGCTAGATCGTTCCATCATATCCCACTTTGCCACTCCTGTCACCATCTTTCTAATATTGAATTAAGAAGTGGATGGTCCTCACAGGACCAAGTTTTTTTTGGATTGATTTGTGTTTGCAACGTCAACGATTGATCTATTTTGGTGTTAGTTTATTGTTATTTTTCTGAAGCATCTGCTTATATATTCCAATTGAAGCATGTGCTCTGTTTTGGGACACTTATCCATGAAAGGATTTGATTGACCAAACAACATTGACAAATGTGCTGCACTTTGCAAATAAAATATAACCCTTGTGCCATTAGAATAACGTGAAGGTCTTCTTCTACTTATGTGCAACCTACTCTACTTTTGACATATATATTCTATTTCTATATGCTCTAGTGCTAGCTATGGAAGCACAACTTAGCACCCACAATGGTTATAATCTCATCATGCAATAAAATTGTGAACTTTATATTAATTATGTCATCGGAAGTGTTGTATTAATACATTTATATAGTTAAAATAAAAATGGTGATATTATTTATGATTACTAAAATAAATTAAAAAAAACATAATTTTTGTTTTATTTTTAAAGTAGATTTGTAATTTTAGCTTCATAAATATTTTATTTTCAATTTTAATATTTTAAAAAATATATTTTTATTTTAGTCTCGTAAATAAATATTTTTATTTTATTTTTCATAAATGTATCCCTTATATGATACTTTTGATGACATTAACAATATCTGGAGTTTAATATTTTGAAACATGGTATATAAAGACGTTATCTCTATTATTAGAAGTTATCACCGTTAGAATTAACAAAGAGAGATTAAAAGTAAAAGAAATAAATTAAAAAGAACAAAATATAATAACAAAATAAAGCAGGAATTAAAACCAAAACATCGAGACAAAAAATTAATTAAAAAAAGTATTAATTTAAAACAATTTTGTAGCATGAGAAAGTCGCGAAAAAATAATCGTAGTTTTGTTTGACTGAAAACAGAGTGTAGTGTGAGATGAAAAATATTATTATTTTCTAAAAGAAAAAAAAACTTTTCGATAAATAATTTTTTCTATTATTTATATTTTTTAAAATTTATCATACTTTTATTTTTAATGTCAATTTGGTATTATGTTTTTAAAAGTGAATGTTGTATTAAAATTACATTAACAAGCATAATAACAATAGTATCGCTTTATATTCTTTCGTTAACAAGTTAATAACATTAAAAAAAAACATTGACTCATTTACAAAAAAAAGATTAAATTAATACTAAAAATAATACTAAAACAAAACTAAAAAAAATTATATATAAAAAAAACTATTTAACCACTTTTCCCCTATAACATAATATTTTGTGGAGAAAAAGTTAACAATTTATTTTATTGTTATATATTAACCATCATAAAAAATATATAAAAAAATGTTTTTATTATAATGGTAAAGATTAAAATGTATTTTTATTTATTTAGTCATTTATCTTATTTCTTTCTTCCTCATTTTTGTAATTTTAATTTATTTATTTATTTAGTCATTTATATATAAAATTAATTTAGAGTTCATATATGTAATTTTAATTTATGTAATATATATATATATATATATATATATAATTTATATAATATATATAATTTATTTAACATTAAAAATAATTATATTTTTATTAATTTTATAATTATAATTTTTTTAAGGTTATAATTTTAAATATAATTTTTTTTAACTTGATATTTATAATTTATATAATATATATAATTTAAAAATAATTATTTTTTTAATTTTAAGTTGATATATTTTTTATTTATAATTATTTAATATATATTTGAAAAACTAGTTGATTATTTAAAAATTAATCAATTATTCAAAAAAATAACTGATTCTCATCAAGTATGAAAAAATCAAGTATGAAAAAACTAATCGATTACTTTTTGAAATAATCGATTAGTTTTTTAAATAGTTAAAATATATATATATATATATATATATATATATATATAATTTAAAAGTAACATATATGATAGCGGTTAACGTGGAACCAGCTCTTAAAAGTGACATATATGATAGCGGTTAATGAGCAACCGCTTTTAAAAGTGACATATATGATGGCGGTCCCACGTTAACCGCTATCTAAAAGAACTGGTTCTCAAATTCTGATCGATTACTTTTTGAAATAATCGATTAGTTTTTTGAATAGTTAAAAATATATATATATATATATATATATTATATTATAGAAATGAAAATAATTTATACTTTAGAGAATAAATATATATATATATATATATATATATATATATATAAATATAATTCATTTTTAAGTTGATTATTTTTATTTATGTAAATTTTATATATAAAATTAATTTAGAGTTCATATATGTAATTTTAATTTATGTAATATATATATATATATATTTATATATATATATATATAATTTATATAATATATATAATTTATTTAACATTAAATATAATTATATTTTTATTAATTTTATAATTATAATTTTTTTAAGGTTATAATTTTAAATATAATTTTTTTAACTTGATATTTATAATTTATATAATATATATATATATATATATATATAATTTAAAAATAATTATTTTTTTTAATTTTAAGTTGATATATTTTTTTATTTATAATTATTTAATATATATTTGAAAAACTAATTGATTATTTAAAAATTAATCAATTATTTAAAAAAATAACTGATTCTCATCAAGTATGAAAAAATCAAGTATGAAAAAACTAATCGATTACTTTTTGAAATAATCGATTAGTTTTTTAAATAGTTAAAATATATATATATATATATATATATATATATATAATTTAAAAGTACCATATATGATAGCGGTTAACCTGGAACCACTCTTAAAAGTGACATATATGATAGCGGTTAATGTAGAACCGCTCTTAAAAGTGACATATATTATAAGCGGTCCCACATTAACAGCTATCTAAAAGAACTGGTTCTCAAATTTTGATCGATTACTTTTTGAAATAATCGATCAGTTTTTTGAATAGTTAAAAAAAAAATATATATATATATATATATATATATTATTGAAATGAAAATAAGTTATACTTTAGAGAATAAATATATATATGTATATATAAATATAATTTATTTTTAAGTTGATAATTTTTTTTATTTATGTAAATTTTATATATAAAATTAATTTAGAGTTCATATATGTAATTTTAATTTATGTAATATATATATATATATATATATATATATATAATTTATATAATATATATAATTTATTTAACATTAAAAATAATTATATTTTTATTAATTTTATAATTATAATTTTTTTAAGGTTATAATTTTAAATATAATTTTTTTAATTTGATATTTATAATTTATATAATATATATATATATTTAAAAATATTTATTTTTTTTAATTTTAATTTGATATATTTTTTATTTATAATTATTTAATATATATTTGAAAAACTAATTGATTATTTAAAAAAATAAGCTGATTCTCATCAAGTATGAAAAAACTAATCGATTACTTTATGAAATAATCGATTAGTTTTTTAAATAGTTAAATATATATATATATATATATATATATATATATATATATAATTTAAAAGTAACATATATGATAGCGGTTAACGTGGAACCGCTCTTAAAAGTGACATATATGATAGCGGTCTCACGTTAACCGCTATCTAAAAGAACTGATCCTCAAATTCTAATCGATTACTTTTTGAAATAATCGATTAGTTTTTTAAATAGTTAAATATATATATATATATATATATATATATATTATATTATAGAAATGAAAATAAGTTATACTTTAGAGAATAAATAAAAATATATATATATATTAAAATATAATTAATTTTTAAGTTGATAATTTTTATTTTTATTTATGTAAATTTTATATATAAAATTATTTAGAGTTCATATATGTAATTTTAATTTATGTAATATATATATATATATATATATATATAATTTATATAATATATATAATTTATTTAACATTAAAAATAATTATGTTTTTATTAATTTTATAATTAAAATTTTTTTAGGGTTATAATTTTAAATATAATTTTTTTAACTTGATATTTATAATTTATATAATATATATATATATATATATATAATTTAAAAATAATTTTTTTTTAATTTTAAGTTGATATATTTTTTTATTTGTAATTATTTAATATATATTTGAAAAACTAATTGATTATTTAAAAATTAATCAATTATTTAAAAAATAACTGATTCTCATCAAGTATATGAAAAAACTAATCGATTACTTTTTGAAATAATCGATTAATTTTTTAAATAGTTAATATATATATATATATATATATATAATTTAAAATAACATATATGATAGCGGTTAACGTGGAGCCAGCTCTTAATAGTGAAATATATGATAGCGGATAACGTGGAACCGTTCTTAAAAGTGACATATATGATAGCGGTCCCACGTTAACCGCTATCTTAAATAACTGGTTCTCAAACTCTAATCGATTACTTTTTGAAATAATCGATTATTTTTTTGAATAGTTAAAAATATATATTATATTATAGAAATGAAAATAAGTTATACTTTAGAGAATAAATATATATATATATATATATATATATATATATATATTAAAATATAATTTATTTTTAAGTTGATAATTTTTATTTTTATTTATGTAAATTTTATATATAAATTAATTTAGAGTTCATATATGTAATTTTAATTAATTTAGAGTTCATATATGTAATTTTAATTTATGTAATATATATATAATATATATACCAGTGGATAGTAGTAGTAGTAGTAGTAGCGATAGTAGTAGCAGTAGTAGTAGCGATAGTAGTAGCAGATAGTAGTAGCGATAGTAGTAGCGATAGTAATGCTTGATAGTAGTAGCTTGAGGAGTAGTAGCAGGGAGTAGTAGCTAGTAGTAATGGTGATAGTAGTGCAACGAGTAGTAGCGATAGTAGTAGCGATAGTAGTAGTAGTAGTAGTAGTAGTAGTAGTAGTAGCAGTGATAGTAGCGATAGTAGCAGACGATAGTAGCGATAGCATGGCGGTAAGCAGCGATGAGTCGCGATAGTAGGTAGTAGTGGTAGTAGTGGTAGTAGTGGTAGTAGTGGTAGTAGTGGCGATGAGTGGCGATAGTGGCGATGAGTGGCGATAGTGCGCAGCGATAGTAGCTGACGATAGCGATAGCGAGTGGTAGCGGTGGTAGCGAGTGGTAGCAGTGGTAGTAGTGGTAGTAGTGGTAGTAGTGGTAGTAGTGGCAGTAGTGGCAGTAGTGGCAGTAGTAGCAGCAGTAGTAGTAGCAGTAGTAGCAGCAGTAGTAGTAGCAGTAGTAGCAGTAGTAGCAGTAGTAGTAGTAGTAGTAGGAGGAGTAGTAGTAGTAGCGATAGTAGCGAGTAGTAGTAGTAGTAGTAGTAGTAGGAGTAGTAGTAGTCACGATAGCAGTAGTAGTAGTAGTAGCAGTAGTAGCAGGAGTAGCAGGAGTAGTAGTAGTAGTAGTAGCAGTAGTAGGAGTAGTAGGAGTAGTCGTAGTAGTCGTAGTAGTAGTAGTAGTAGTAGCAGTAGTAGTAGTAGTAGCAGTAGTAGCAGTAGTAGTAGTAGTAGTAGGAGTAGTAGTAGTAGCAGTAGTAGCAGTAGTAGTAGTAGTAGTAGGAGTAGTAGTAGTCACGATCAGCGATAGTAGTAGTAGTAGCGAGTAGTAGTAGTAGCGATAGTAGCAGGAGTAGCAGGAGTAGTAGTAGTAGTAGTAGTAGTAGCGGTAGTAGTAGTAGTAGGAGTAGTCGTAGTAGTCGTAGTAGTAGTAGTAGTAGTAGTAGCAGTAGTAGTAGTAGTAGCAGTAGTAGCAGTAGTAGTAGTAGTAGGAGTAGTAGTAGTAGCAGTAGTAGCAGTAGTAGTAGTAGTAGTAGTAGGAGTAGTAGTAGTAGTAGTAGTAGTCACGATCAAAGAGTAAAGCGAAGGTAGAGATCCAACTTAACAAAAAACGACACACAATTTGGAGAGTAAAGCGAAGGTAGAGATCCAACTTAACAAAAAACGACACACAGTAGTAGTAGTAGTAGTCACGATCAAAGAGTAAAGCGAAGGTAGAGATCCAACTTAACAAAAAACGACACACAATTTGGAGAGTAAAGCGAAGATAGAGATCCAACTTAACAAAAAACGACACACAATTTGGAGTATTAGTAGTAGTAGTTTGGGTCTTAAAATAAAAATAAAACAATAAATCTAAATTGTGTGTCGTTTTTTGTTAAGTTGGATCTCTATTTCCTGCTACCTTCGCTTTACTCTTTGATCGTGAAAAACACGTTGCATTTAATTATTCATTTATTAGAGTTGGGGTGATGAAGAGTGAAAGATGTTTCTGAAATTCTGATATCAATAATGCCCTTGAGTAAAAATAAAATATGCTACTGCGTCACGGATCTGAATCTGATTACCCCTCTGGTCTTGGCTATTTTAGTTGCGTCTAATAAATTAATAAATGAGATATCCGAGAGGTTGATCTAATAAATGTTTCACCAACTTAGCATAAGCTTAATTAATTAATTAGTTTATTGAATGATAATAGTCGTAATGGATTCACTTTACTCCATTTCATTTCCACCAGGACTTGCTCAACTGACCGATCCTTTTTGCCTTTTGTTCATTTGCAGTTGTTCGATTTTGCTGACAAATACAGAGGCAAATATGACAGCAGCATTACCGTTGCCCAGAAGTACTACAGATCTATCAATGGCTACAATGTATGTTTCTCTTTTTTAATTGTGTTTTCTATATTAAATTTGAACTAATTTAATATAACGTTCAGATGCAGTTATTGGCTTGAATTAACATTAAAATAAAATCAATTGTAAATAGGAGTAAACAAAAGTAATAGTAGTTGATTGAGTGTTGGTAATTGTACGTGCAGGATGAATTGCTCTGGGCTGCTGCTTGGTTGTATCAAGCATCTAACAATCAGTGTTACTTGGATTACTTTGGAAGAAACGATGATTCCATGGGTGGAACTGGTTGGAGCATGACTGAATTTGGTTGGGATGTCAACTATGCTGGGGTTCAGACATTGGTTGCCAAGGTAATAATTCCAATAATTCTTAGCTTCTTCTGTGCGTATTTTGTTAAACATTAGTGGCTAAAGGAGTTTTCTTTGTTTCTTCCTTACAGTTCCTGATGAAGGGCAAAGCTGCTCATCATGCACCAGTCTTCGAGAGATATCAACAGAAGACTGAATCCTTCATGTGCTCATACCTTGGAAAGGGTTCTCGCAATGTTCAGAAAACTCCTGGTGGCCTCATCTTCCGCCAGAGATGAAACAACATGCAGTTTGTCACGAGTGCCTCATTTTTAGCCACTGTCTATTCTGACTACCCTGCTTCTTGTGGTAGAAACTTGAGATGTAATTCAGGAAATGTTGCTCCTGCTGAGCTTCTCTCCTTTGCAAAGTCTCAGGTAATTCCACCTCCTGCATTCCCTTTCATAGTTTCACTTGGTTAGCTGTTCCTGATAATATTTGTCTCTATTTAAAGTTTTTAGTTCTTATGTAGTGAAAGTGCAAGTTTTAGTCTCTACGCTATTTTTTATGATGGACTATCACTGGCTAAAGTTGTTTGTAAAACGCTAAATTGTGTAATTGATAGTCCCATATTGAATAATTTACTCAAATAATTAAAATAAACATAGTATATAAAAGAACTAAGGTTCTATTTAATATTCACTAGCTCATTTTAATTTTGGGGAGTTGTATAGAAGGCAATGGAGGTAATAAAATAAATTATTATTTCTTTATTGCTATAATATATAAAAAATTTTATTATTGTTTTTTATTATTGTTTTATATTATTGTTTTTTATTATCGTTTTTTATAAAATTATTTATTATTAAATTTCATAATAAATTTTTTTATTTTGATTATAATTAATAAAATTATTTATTATCATATTGTATTTTTTTATTATAATTAATAATATTATTTATTATTATTATTATTTTTTTTTTCTGATTGTTGTTTTGAAGTGATGAGCAACAGCTGTGAGGGGGAGAGTAGTAGTGTCAATTATACCTCGCAAATGTCACCTCAAACACGATACCCGACTAGTCGGACCTCCTGGCAATATTTAGAACTGCACAGAGATTTATTGAAACAGTGTTTCTCGCTTCTAAGAGAAGCATTACAAGTGCAGGATCTTCCTGATGATGCTGTCAACTTTGAAATGGAAAGGTTTGATACTGTTAGCAAGGCTAACATGTATCTTTGTTTATCGAAAAATGAGTTAAAAAATAAATTTGAGATCTATCTGATGGAGAAAGGAGAAAGAACATGAGAAGCAGTAAGTAATTTATAATAATAAAAATATATAATATCTTTTATAAATTTCTAATTTTTTGTATTTTTTTTCAGGTAATAAACACAGAAGTTTTTTATATTTTCTTTTTTGTCGACTATTCGAATATTTAGCTGGGGACTTTCTTTTGGGTCTACTATCCCAAATATTTAGTTATGGACTTTATCTTTCGTTGTGACTATCTTTTCTGTTGGTAATATTTAGTAATGGACTCTCTGTTTAGTTATTAACTTTCTTTTCTGTTTACTATCTGAAATATTTAGTAATGGACTTTTTTTAAGTTATTCTATCTATTATTCTAAATATTTAGTTATGAAAATATGTAAATATACCTTGGCAGTACGAGTTTACTATTATCTGGCATACCATCTCATTCCGGTAATAATTTTTTCGTTTTTTTTTTTTAATTTATATGTTGTATCTTGAAATTTGAAAGTTGTTTCAGGTCGATTTTGAGGAGAGAAGCCTGGGTCAGATCCCAAAGTCGGAGTTTCTTTGTTCAATAAATGTTAATGTTAGTATGATTTTGAGATGTCATATAAAAAGTGTTTAATAGTTGGTTTGATTTCATTTCTTATCAAATAATTATTTAAATAAAATTTAAAAATTAAATATAGTTTATTTTGATTTTATTTTAATATAAAATTTAAAAATCTACATGTGATATTGACTAGTTATTTTAAGTGAAATAGATGATTATGAAGGGATGAGATATTGGTTATTATTTGATTATTATTATTATTATTATTATTTGATAAAAGATAAAATAAATTTATTATAAATACCGTTTATATAACTATAGATTATTGTTAAAATTCTTATTATCTTTTGTCACTACACATTTTATTTATTTAAAAAAGAACAGAAAAGAAAAACATAACTGAGAGATATTTCATTAGTAAAAGATAATATTTTTCTAACGAAAGAAACTCTTCTTAACCTGTAGCATAAAAAACACATATTAATAAAACAAAATAAATGCAATACAGATATTTTACTTGAAGGAAATGTTTTCTTTCTATCTTATTATTTTTCCAAGCCTCCAAAGAGGGAAAACTATTAGATAGTGGTGTGTACAGTGCACGCAACAATTACACGGAAATTTGAAGTTCCCTTTTAAACCCCTCTCTTCTCTCATTCTTCCCTCACTTCTCTTCCCAACACCTGCGCCGTTTCTCAGTTCTGGAAGCAGTGATACCATGGCCAAACCTAGAGCATCCACCACATCCCATACTGAAAACAACACTGTATTCCAATGCAAGAAGGCTAAGCGTTCTTCCCCTAATCCCGGCGTCGTCGGAAAACCAATTCCGGCCACTGAAGCCCTTGCCAAGTGGCCCCACCGTTATCCTTCCGAGGTCTTATTCTCAACCACTTCCGATCAAAATTGTTAATTATAATTGTTTTTTTATTCTCTGCTTACTTTTTTTTTTTATGCATGAATGATCAGGGGAAAAAGAAGGCTTCATTTGGAAGCAGCTCAAAAGAGTTAGTACTTTATTTCATTTTGCATTTTTCTATTACATTTCTTACAGGAAGTATAGTTTCAATGTTAGTATTTGCTTATTACTGTGTAGGGCTGGCTGCTGGGGAAGACAGTGAGGTTATTTTGGCGCGGTGTCATTATCAACAAGCTAAAATAGATGGGGTTGTGTTTAACCTCTATGACGATGCTTATGTCAAGGTTTGAGCTTTGTTGTGGAATTTTGTTTGTGCTATGCTTGGTGAAAGCAAAGTATGTTAAAAAATTGACGTTATTGTTGAATTGTTTCAGGCTGAAGATGGTAAACCTGATTATATTGCAAGCATTGTTGAGATGTTTGAAAGTGTTGATAATGAACAGTATTTTATGGCTCGGTGGTTTTATAGGGCTGAGGACACAGTGAGATTCGCTTTTTCATGACTTGTTTTTTTGGTTTTTGTTATTTGTTATCTTTTATTTTGATTAACTCATTTTTGAAGTTTTGAATGTGTGCAGGTTATAAAAAACCACGGTGATCTTGTGGACAAGAAACTGGTGTTTTTATCTGATGTAAAAGATGATAATCGGCTTGACTGTATTGTTTATTGTTAAATTATCCCCAAATGTAAGTGGTGTGGTGCTGTTACATTGTTTTGTGCAATTGCTTGGCAATCGGGGATTTTGTTTCAGGTGGTTGGAAAATTAATCAGTATATTTGATACTCTACTCAAGATTAGCTCCTTTGAGCTGATATCAACAAACTGTATGAAAGTCTATGAATGTGTTATTATCTGATACGAATATATTGAAAGAATAGTTTATTGTAATGCTTACGAAGACATGTTATACCTTTTTAATGTGGTTAAAAGTGTTTGAAATTTGCATACTACAGGTAGGTTTGACTACAAAGAAAAGGAAAATTCCCTCCTGCGATTACTATTATGATATGCAGTACACTTTGCCGTACCTAACCTTTTCCAATTTTGTCAATGGTAGGATTGATATGATGTTTTGTATGCTATTACTACACGACTCACTATCTCTACTGTTTTTACTCTACACTTTGCCGAAATTTTACCTTTTGACGTGGCTTCCTCTGATAATCCAGAAACAGCTAAAGGTGAGAGCGATGCATTATCCACAATTTCTAGTGAATCTGGATCTAGTGGCTGCCTTAATGGTGCTAAACTATCTAATAGAAAGCGTGAAAAAGAACAGTTCTGATTCGTCCGAGTGGACTTTGCTAGACTTTCTGGTTGTGGAGCCATGTCCACGGGGCTTTGTTTGGGTGCATCCTTGGCTGGAGTAAAACTTATCACGGTATGTAGAGCTTTTGTTTTGAGCAATTTGGTTTTGAGCAATTTATAATGATTTGGTATTTTGATTTTAAAGAGGTGGGCTGTAGACATTAATGCCCATGCATGTAAAAGTTTGAAGTTGAACCATCCTGAAACTCAGGTAAGGTTTTGTTAACATGCTTTAATTGACAAATTTTATAGTATATTCAGTCTTGTCCTGATATACTACCCAAAAATAACATTCAGGTTATAAATGAACCTGCTGAAAACTTTTTGGAGCTAATAAAAGCCTGTGCCAAGCTTTGTGAAGAATTTGGGCTATTAGGATCAGAACGGTCAGATTCTGGCGCAGACATGGAGGAGGATGAAATTGATGATGAAGCCGCTGATGTAATAAAACACGAGTCAGAAGAAAATCATTCTGACTCTGAGGATTTTGAAGTTGAAAAGTTGCTTGCTGTTTGCCATGGTGATACAAACAACGTCAAGAAACCAGGACTATATTTTAAAGTATGTTGCCTTCAAGCTTACACAATAAATTAATTGGTTTACATATTTAGTCCAATGTTGTCAGTGTTATTAGGATTGGCTTATTCAGGGAAAAGTTGTTTGCTCACCCTATCATCCTCTTAAATTTAATTGGTGTCAATTAGGTCAATTAGGTTATAACACACCACACGCACACAATCAAGGCATGCAATTTGGTGATAAAGAGTGTCAATTAGGTGATTTAAATCATTGATTTGATGAAGGCATGCAAGAAGAATTATGTCTATATTTAGGCAGATATCAGTTCTTAAAATGGTGAAACATTTGCTGCATAGATATGACTATGATTATTACTTGATGTGATAAGATAGGTAGCAATTAAGACAAATGTAGGACATAGATACGATTAACCCTTTGAAAAGAAATTAAATACAGTTTGATATTAATTTTAAAAACACTCAATAGCTGATACTCACTTTTAAAATCACTTTTAACGAATTACAATCAAGTGCTAGAACTTTGATACTTAAACTGGAGTCTTCATCTTACGAGCTGAGGTGAGTACCAAGAGCACTTTAGAAGTCAACTCAAACAATTGGTTGTCAAGGGAGGTGACTTAGGTTTTGACAGCATGTCCCCATTTAATTTTTCGGTTAATGATCAATTTGTTGTGTCTTCTGCTCTTAAATCACTCAGGTTCGTTGGATGGGTTATGATTCCAGTGATTCCAGTTACGACACATGGGAGCCAATAGATGGATTGAAGTAAGCCCTTCTCATGAGCTTTGTTTTGTGAAAATTTTATTTGTTACATAACACTTTACTTCAAATCTTTGTGAAATTCTGACTCTGGTTTTGTTTGTACCAGCGATTGCAAGGAAGTTTTGAAAGATTTTGTGACAAAAGGGTACAAGAAGAAGTTATTACCTCTTCCTGTGAGAGTTTCTCCATTTTTGGCCTACACACTATTACTTGTAATGATTTTTCAATTGATTTTGTAACACTTGACCCTTTTTCAGGGTGATGCTAATTTTATTTGCGGAGGACCCCCATGTCAAGGAGTAAGCGGTCTTAACCGCTTTAGAAACGCAGCAGCTCCATTAGAGGATATAAAAAACAAGCAGTTGATTGTTTACATGGATATTATTGATTTTTTGAAACCAAAATATGTCCTCATGGAGAATGTGGTTGACATTTTGAAGTTTTCTGGTGCTTATTTGGGACGTTATGCCATAGGCCGGCTAGTGGCTATGAATTATCAAGCAAGATTGGGCATGATGGCAGCAGGGTCTTATGGCCTTCCACAATTTCGTATGCGTGTCTTCCTTTGGGGTGCTCTTCCTACAGAGGTAAATTTTTTATTGTTAATTCTTATAAACTTTTTGTTCTTTTGGTGAGATAATGTTAATGTTGTAAATGGAAGTTAACTGACTTGATTACTTTTTGTTGGATAGAAATTGCCTCGGTATCCGTTACCAACGCATGAGGTGGTGTCACGAGGTTTCGTACCCACCGAGTTTGAAGTAAGAACTAGTAGATTAAGACATATTTTCTCCTTTTCCTTGAAAAGCGTTGTCTTTGACTTTAATCTAACTATGTTTGAAGTGTAAGGACTAATAGTTGACTCACAATGCAGGAAATTACAGTAGCTTATGATACAAAGGAAACGTGTCAGCTAGGTGACGCTCTTTTACTTGAGGATGCAATATCAGATCTCCCACCTGTATGTTCTCTGAAGTACATTAGTTAATTAAGTTTTTTTGGATTAATATGGATAATCCCTGTTTTTCATTTTTATTTTTTTTAACTCAATTAGGTTACAAATAATGAGAAACAGGATGAAAGAAACTATGGAACTGCTGCTCGTACTGAGTTTCAAAAATACATTAGATTGAAGAAAAGCTGTTTGTATTTATATTTTTGTCTGTGTTTTACAGCATGTTTATGTTTATGTTGTTTATACTTGGGTTTAAGGCCTTGCCTTTATATGTGTGAAAAACTAAATCTCTATGTTCATGGTTGAATATTTTTTGCTCTGTATTTGTTTTTGTCATGTCTAGAATCATGTTGTGATGATTGACATATAGACTGTAGTTAGTTTAATGGGGTATTGCTTTCATGTACATAATTCCACCGTACAACATCGATATTGACATTATATGTTTTCTTTTTTGAAGAGATGGTGGGTAATTTGATTAGTGCTCAAAGCACAGCACGTAGAATATTGTATGATCATTGTCCTCTGCAATTGAACCAAGATGATTATGACAGAGTTTGTAGGATTCCCCAGAAAAAGGTTCCATAACTAACCTTGTTAAAAGAATTATTTGTATTCTCTCTGATTTTGACGGTGCTTGGTAATTTTTCTAGGGTGCAAACTTCAGAGATCTACCTGGAGCACTGGTGAAGGACAACAAAGTTGAATGGGATCCATCGGTTGAAAGAGTGAAGCTAGACTCTGGGAAGCCTTTGGTACTAGTCCTTTGTCACATTTTCTTTATTGGAGACATTATTTTGACTGCAGTCCTTGTTGAATACTATTATATATCTCTAGTTCATATTTATATTATGTTCATGCACAGGTTCCTGATTATGCAATGTCATTTGTCCGCGGGACCTCTTCTAAGTAAGTATATGTGCATATCACGCTGTCTCTATTATGTTTTTAGTTGTTTCTATCAAAATTCTGATGTAACTTGCTGGGCGAAACATAGGCCATTTGGTCGTTTGTGGTGGGACGAGATTGTGTCAACAGTGGTTAAGGGCTGAGCCTCACAACCAGGTTATTATTTTCACTTTGTACAACATTGTTTGATTTGATTTGGTAAACAAATACCACTCATTGGAAATATATCAGCATAAACTCTCTAAATTAATTATATTGCATTTGAAGTTATAATGAAAATCATGTTGCCATCTTAGCCATTTGGATTGGTTATGTGAGTAGTAGTTTTCTCTTGGTTCTTCTGCATGCATTGTCTGAACTCAAATGTTATATTATGGTAGGTAATTCTCCATCCTACACAAAACCGAGTGCTAACAATACGAGAAAATGCAAGACTACAAGGGTTTCCTGATTGTTATAAACTTTGTGGGTCTATCAAAGAGAGGTATGTTTAGCAGGGTTCAAAACAATATTCTTTGTCTCTTTTACCAACACAAGTTATAACTAACTCCGTTGTGGTATTCCGATTCCACACGTACATGCAAGTTGGAAATGCTGTTGCTGTTCCTGTAGCTCTTGCAATGGGATACACCTTTGCTTTGGCCTGCCAGGGATTGTCTGATGATAAGCCTCTGACAACCCTTCCCTTTAAGTATCCAAGTTGTCTTGCCCGTTCTTCTTTTGCCCAAACTGAGAATGACGACGAATCAAGTTGAGATTGTTTCTTCCCCAATGTTATCAATTTTTATTCCTAAACTATTAAGAGTGTACACTACAAGTCCACAAGTTGTATCAGTTGTATGTACACTTATTTCATTGTCCCTATTGATATAGGGTTCGATTCGTATTGAAAAACAAAATATGTTTTAGAGTTAATGAAACTTGAGATCGTTTATTTAATCTAAGTTGTTATCTAGTATTATTACCTTTGGACTGTAGCTTTTGATCACATCAAGTTACACTGTCAAAGTGTATTTTTCTCATATGAATAAAATATTTATGTCAATAAATCTTTTTTTATTATAAGATTAAGGCAATATTTATATAAATCACAACATATTTATATCAAATAATGCACTTTTAATATTGTAACTTGATGTGATCAATATAAATATACACTTTTATATTGTTACCATTCCTACTTGATAACTATGGATATGCATAAATTGAACTCTCAAATACTACTTAGCACAATCCATACTATCAAAATATTGTATATGCATTTTTTTCACTACATAAATTTAAAGCCCAAATTAGATAAACATCCAATTAAATACAGAGGAATTCCCAAACTGTAAATACTAAACATGAAACCCTAAACCCATATAATTTATTCTGTTGTACAAAGCATAAACCCTAAATACATCAAAGAAAACACAAACTTTGTTCACGAAGACCAATCCTCATCTCAATATATATATATTTATACCTAGCCGTACATCCCATTTCTACCAAGTCAGGTAAATCTTTATTCATGTTAAATTACTAATATTTTCTATTGAGATTGATAAGAAGTACTAAGATTTAAAATTCTATATCTTAATTAATCAAATCACATGAATTTTATTGAAGGAGACTTTGACAAATGTGCAGTATAGTATAAACTGCTGACATATAATTAATAAGGGTGCCAATAATATGTTGAAATATTAAATCATAATAATAATGTTTTAAGTTGTAGGTTTGATAGCTGAGGTTATGATTAGTTCATATAAATCAAGTCACATGTAAGTCTTTGGGGCATTACATTGGATGATCATTCATAAATGAGGGTTAGTTACCTCACATGCAGCTTTAGTGTTCTATAATTAACATGTTTCATTTGTTACACAATTCAAAAACATAATCAAAATTAAGATATGTGTCTTAGAATAAATGGAAAGCCACCCCATTCACACGGATATTGTTAATGTGATTTGGACATTAATAGACTCCAAAAAAATAATTTATGATTTCTATTTTTAGAGATGTGAGGTGTAATAACTTATTTACTTCTTGAAGTAGTTAATCCATTAAAACAGTGGTTTAAACCACATTATGTAAATATGATCCATTCTCACCCATTTGTCAGATAAGTAATTTTAAAGTTCATCATCATTTACTTACCATATTTCTAAAATTCTGTGATGGATAGAATTCTATAAATACCACAAATATTCTGTGTTTTGAATTATCAAATCTGTTCTCTTTTATACCATACTAAACTACCAAAGTGTGAGAGGATGAGGATTTGAGACGGTAGAATATATTCTGAACTTGAAATAATAATGACTAAAGATATATCTTGTTTTCTATTTTCACATCTTGAGATTATCAATTAAATTCTTTTGCTTTGTTTTAAATTTCTAATGCAATTTATATATTTATACAATAATCCTTCTTCAACTTCATTTTAAAGTTTAAATTCTTGTTAATTAATTAATGATAACTTTTTTTATTGAATTTACTTTAAAGGTGAATTAGTAATTTATTTAAATACACCTTTCTATATTACTTATGATTCTTTCACTAGTAATTAATATTTATTTTATTTTAATGCATTTCCAATTTTGTTCATCTCCTCTATATATTTCTAATTATTGTTGGAAAGAATTTGTTGACATATTTGTCATGAAATTAAAAAGACTTGGCCGGTTGAAGTCACGAGCTCGAATCAATAATGATTGATAAACTAAACTCATCTGTTATTTACTTTGATTATTTGGCTGTTAGGAAGGTGACAACAATTCTACCATGAATATATATATATATATATATATATATATATATATATATATATATATATATATATATATATATATATATTTATTTATTTATTATTTTTATTTTCTTTAATTTGTGGTGTGCAACCTTCAATATCAACAATTTCTTAAAGAAATGTATATTAACAATACAGTTTTTTAAACATATTCTTTTAAGACTATTTCTGTATGGATGTGAACAACGTCACACTTTTCTCAGGGTCAAAATAAAATAGCAGTGCATTGGAGGGAACAGATTATAGAGCAATTATGGCTGAAACAGACACAGAAATACGACATTTTTCATTGGCCAACAGAGAAAGCACATCAGTTCTGACATATTGATTAATGAAGATGGTATTCATAGAATGCTGACAAACATAACGTGTAACCTTAAAAATACTATTCTAGTCACTTGAAACATTTTGTTAGATATTCCTTAGACATTAATATTGGGAGAGTGAGATGAGTGAGTGAATATTTTATTCAACATTTTGTTGGAAAAGGTGATAGTTTAACCATAAGTCCTTACTCCTATAAACTACCTTTTGCCAGAGAATACGATTCTTAGATATATTGCTTTTAAAACATAATGTTGTTTAAGCTTCTATAATGCCTGCAGAAGAAAAGACCAGCAAAGACAATAACTTCTCTCATGTCCAACAACTTGTGACTCCTATTCTTGATGTAAAGCCACCCACCAAACCATTTTAAGTACCAGAAATAATTTATGCTGTGTGATGTTTTTCATGATGCTAACACATCAATTTCCAAGGTAGAAGAAGTGTCATTGTTGATTACCCCTTCATGTCTCCCAGTAACAGTAAATGCACAGACATCACAGCCACGACAAAAAAAATGATCATGCCAATTTGAACAAAACATTGCTCATATGTTCCGCCAGTAACAGTTTGAGCAAGCCAGGATTATTTAAATGTATCCATAACTTGTGTTTTGAAATAGGACATGAATTGACAACATATGAAGATAGTAGAACACAAGTTCAATAATACACATGATAATTCGGAAATATCTTATATTATTGAACCATGGCTGAGAAGATGGAATTATTGATGCCTAACAGGGGAGCACACACAAGCAATTCACTGTATTCATTGTTTAGGGTTGCATTGTGTTTATCACAGTTATGTTAAAGTTCTAAGTTGCTCATCTCATGACCATGAGATTAAAAAAATGGATAGTGCTGCCAAATTTCTGACCCAAAATGTCAGAAAGTCATATGAAAGTTTGGATGACCCACATTGCCATCACATGTACACATCACATACCCAAATAGTCCACGTTCATAAACATGGTACCATGTTTAGCTCCCCAAACCATGGTCCTATAAATAGATTCAACAAAGACTCGTTGTCATTCAAGCAATCAAGCATCCTTGTGTTAGCTATAGGAACACCATTCTAGCAAAAACTACAGAGAAAATATGGAAGACATTTCTAAATTTCCCTATTCACATCAACCTGTAAGATCCATTAGTTTTCCCACTAGAGTACACCCCATTTCTCAGAGAGTAGAAGCACTCCTAAACCACCTAAAACATCATCATTCTCAACCTGTCTCAAGCACTACGGATTTGGAGGCAGAAACTATTCAGAGTGACTTAGTTGTGCTTGCTGAGGTGTACAACTGCATGGAGGAGCTCTTCCATTCTCCACAGTCCCAACAAGCTCTTCTCCGCTACCAAGATGGGAAACTAGTAGAAGAAGCATTATGTGGCTCAGTCACTTTGCTGGACACATGTGAGTCTGTAAGAGATTTGTTATTGGTTCTAAAGGAACACATGCAAACACTTCATTCAGCTGTACGTAGAAGAAAAGGAGATTCAAACATTGAAAGCAGCATTTCTGCTTTTGATATCTTCAAGAAGAAGGCAAAGAAGACAATTGCCAAACAACTTGGACAATTAAAGAGAATGCACAATAAGGTTAATTCGTTTTCTTTACTGGGTCAAGATCTACAACAAGCATTTTTGGCTAGAGTTCTAAGAGAATCAAGCACCATAACCCTCTCTATATTACATTCTCTATTAGTATTTCTGTCCAGGCCAACATTTGGAACAAAAGGGCCCTCCTCCTTGATCTCAAAGTTGAAGACTACGGTTTTGTTCTCTTCCCAGAAAGAACAGAAGAACACCAATGGGGTTGCAAATCTCAACAATGTTCTGTACTCCCTTCTTGGAAGAGACAAAAACGGTGATTCCAGACTTCCAGTGGTGAATTTCAAAGGGCACTAGGGGTGTTGGAGACACTAAATGTTAATATTGAGGGTCTTGAGGGTGGATTAGATTGCATATTTAGATGTTTAGTGAAACATAGAGTATTGTTTCTGAATATGCTAGCTAATTGAAGAGCAATGGAGTAAAAATATCTGTCTGTAAATATATATAGAATCTCCATAAACTACATATGTTTAAATAAGAGCATCATCATTGGTTCAGAATTATATTATATCTTCTCAACATTTTCCTATAATGTATATAGTTTATTCGTTTTATTTAGACTTAATTCATAAAAAAAATTGAATTTTAATGTTAACTAGTTTATTTATGGAGAGATTAATTAAAACTTAAACCTATCTTTATAAAAGTAATATTAATCTTGAGTTTACTTTGTTTATAACTTATTTATTTCTGCTTTTCCAAATTTTTTCTTAGATTATTTTGAAACTTTATAAATTATTTTAATACTGTATATTAATAAAAGAGCTGCATCTAATTTTTTTCAGAAAAAAGATTCATATATTAAAAAATATAATGTTTTGAACTTAAATGTTGAAAGATGCATACTAATACTTTAATAAGTAAGTTAATAATGAATTTTTAAAGTCAAATTTATAAAGTTTAAAGTCAACTCATTTCATTTACATGCTACCACAAGAAATCTATGAATAATAACAATGACATTCCAATGTCAATAAAGATAAGTAATTGATTCAATTTATAAATTATTATTGAAGAAAAGTGGGGTGTTATTTAGGACAAAAAATTAATTGACATCTTTACAAAAATCTTCCAGTCAACTGTACAGAAAGAATTTAATGTTTTAATAGGTGTAAGACTATATTCACCTTTTTATTAAATATTTTTTATTATTTACCAAGAAATTTTTTAAGAAGATATAACATTATTTAATTATAAAGAGTTGATTTATTAGAGTTAATGTTTTGAAAATGGGATGAATGAACATGTCTAATTGCTTCAACTAGAAATCCATACATTTTTCAAAGTTCAAGATTTTTTTTCAAATTTTAAGTTTAGAATTGTTTAATTTGAAACATGTAGCTTTTTTAAGATTAACTAAACGTTACCGTACTCTTGCATTTATTGTGTAAAATATTTGGATTATAAAAAGTTTGGTGTTACATGATTTAAACTGATTAATGCGTGCTAATAACAATAGAAATTACATTCTTTAATATTTATTTCTGATGTTTACAATATTATAAGAGACTCATTGATTACGCTGAGACGAAGGGCGGCACAACAAACATGTTTTTTCAGGCAACTTCTTTAGCAGTAGTTTAAAGAAATTGCATTTTAAAGGCTTTTCAATTTAAATACTATTACAATTTAGGACCTCTTTTATCTATCCTAATCTTTCCAATTTTAAAATGAATAACTCATTCCCAATGTTTCTCATTCTATTTGTGCTTGGGGACAGTCTATAAAACCTAAAAAAAGACATTTATTTTTCTAAATAAACTTGAAAACACCAAACATTCAAATCCCAACAAAACCAAACAACTTGGTGAGGCCAAATGTTATAGTCATAGCCATCCAACCACCAATCAGCACTCTTAGACAAGACTTAGTGAGAGGAGTTTTTCCAAGCACTGCTCCAACCCCACCAAAAAGCACCAATGTGAGGCTTGCCACTGCAACAACAATAGCAAGCCTGATTTTATGGTTCTTTATGAATGCAGCTGCTAGCAGTGGCACCACTGCACCCGCAGAAAATGCTAGTGCTGATGCTAGAGCAGCCTGAAATGGCTTTGGCAACTTCTCCCTTTGAGCTTCTTCACTCACTCCACCAATGTTTTTACTTTTTCTCTCCCTTTTAATTTGACCTATTTCTATGTCATATTGGGTGTACACAGACACAAACTCTCCAATTGCCATGCTGCATGCCCCAGCAATTAAGCCTGCAAACCAGCAACAAGCATGGCTGTGATGTTCTCCTTAACAGCTCCAACACCCATCATCAATGATGCAACTGAGACTAAGCCATCATTGGCTCCTAACACTGCTGCACGCAACCAATTTGCCCTCTGAGAGTAGTCTTTGTTTTTCTCTTCAACTTCTTCCTTTGGTTTTGGCTCTACACCAGTTGCATGAACAGGAATCTCAACATGATTCAACGGAGTCTCACTTTTGTGACCATCAATGGAAGCCATTACAAGGATATGAAATAAAGTAGAAAAAAAATACTCAGGAAATAGAAAAGAAGAACACAACTTTTTAGAGTTTTTGGATTTACAGATGCTGAAAAGAAGGATATTTATAGCCATTACAAGGTTGAGCGATGTAAATGAATGAACTTGGACAACGAAAAAGAATAGAGGTGGTGTAGAGGACACTAGCAACTAGTGGTGACTTTAACTAATGAATTTGGTTCGCATTTCAGAATTTGTCAGAGAAAAAGTTGGATTCATTATATATATTCCTCATCATCAATTTAATCAACAGATCATTCATATGGTTTAACCATACACGTGGTTCAATTAATTAGTCAAAATTTTTAGTTTGGTTTAGTATTTGAACTTTAATTTTATTCATGTGTGGGAATTAACAAAAATCAAAAGCATATTTTTATATCGAGTAGGTATATGCTTGTGACTTTCAGAATAATAATATTCTGACAAATACTAAAAGTGTAGATTTTGCTTTTGCTCTTTTATTGTGGAGTCATTTCGGAGAATTTCAACGCATAAGCTATACAAGCGATTGATATGAGGAAAGAAATTAAAATAATTAATAATAAGAGGTCTTGTATGCATAAATTATAAAGTTAAATTAATAAAAATAAATTTGTTTGATAAGAAAATATAATTTTTTTAAATATTATAAAATTAATAATTTTTTGTCTGTTCCATTCATGAGTCCAATGTCATAACATTTCTAGACTATCTCATTGTCAGTCTTAATCATAATAATAATAATAATAATAATAATAATAATAATAAAATTATTTTAATAACTTTAAATAATCACCAGGTTACATATTTTGGTCCAAGTCACCATAAATAAACTTTGACATTTGAAGTGAATTTGAAAAAGTTAAAAAAAGCGAGGAAGATAATAAAAAAATAAGATTGGTTAGATTAAGAAAAATAAATGAAAAATCAAATAATTTATTCATTACTAATAGTTTTTTATTGTTTTAATAGATTTTTTAATATTTATTATTATAATAAGAAAATTATAAAAAAGTTATATCTAAAATTTTAAACCTTTTTCGTCTTTTTTTTTCTATACGGAGATAAAATATTACTTCGATCGCATAATTTTTTTTTATTAAAATACGTGAAATTTAAAAATAAAAACACTCTTATTTGATTTGTTATCTTGTGGTGTTGCTTTTCTTTTTTCGTCTGGAAGTGACAAACACCTTTTGATTTCTTGAATGAACTGCACGTTCCATTCAACTCCTGCATTTGTTTCATTTATATTAATCTCAATGTGTTTCTTTTTTTTTTAATTTCAATTATTTGCAGGTAATTTTTTTAACCAAATTGATCTTAAAAAAAATGGCATAGGTTGAGTTTTGAAAAAATATTTTTGGAAGGTCATTTTTATTTTAGTTGGTTCTAACAAAAGTGAATATGACAATCGTTGAGTTTTGACATATTGAAGATAAATGATATATTATTTAGAAAAACTTTTATCATAGTTTATTTATATACTTTTCTATATATAATAATAATAATAATAATAATAATAATAATAATAATAATAATAATAATAATTTCTTTAAATAATATTTTAAAAACTAAAATATAATATAAATTTATTAATAATTAATTTAAATAAAAAAATTAAACAATAATTTTCAATAATTTTCCTTATTTTAACATTTGTTTATTTTAATATTAATGTTTTATTCTTTATATTTTTCATTACTGTATACTTTTTTAATTTTTTAATTTTTTTAATTTTAATATAGTAACGTTGAAATTTTAAACCATAGTTTCTTATTTACATTTTCATTATTTTTATTGATATTAACTTTTTTTCAATGATGTTTTTCTTCTGATTTTGATTCTTATTCTGTGTATTCATTGAAATTAACCTCATCTTTCATAAATTTTTACTTTCATATATAAATATTCACCACTTCTAAATCATTTATGTTTACCAAATTTTATATTACTTAGAAGTGAAGACCAAGGATAATTTAAATATATATTTCTTCCTTAACCCATCAAAACATTTTTTAAGGATAAAACTGTGATGAATAACAGACATAATGTACACCGTAGGATGAGTAGAGTCTCGCTCCACTCATATATATCCCTTTAGTATTTGATCCTTACTCGGAACATAAGCAGTTTAAATATTTCAAAAGTCACCTTATAATTTTTCTTTAATTATGGAGTAATACTTAACAAATCTTGATTAATTAATAGATATATAAAAATTAATTTAATATTCAAATGACTTAATTTTAATTCTCCTATACCTTTTATAATTATTTGTTCTTCTTTACCGATTCTTATTTGAGAAATAAAATATTTATTTAACTCTAAAAAAATTTCAATCATGAATTACTTAGTTGTACAAATAGTATCTATATTAATGTTGATATTTATATATATATATATATATATATATATATTTTAATGATGATTATTTTTCTTAGCATAGGACAAAGAAAAAAAAAACTCATATATTGTTGTTTTGATTACATTTGTTAAGTTCATAACTTTTGGCTTAGATGATGCCTTAAAAAAAAAAAAAGTTTTCAATGACACAAATCTTCTCTCACCAATTTTCGTTAGTAAAACATATATTTATGTTTAAGTAATCTTAAACAAATCTTTTATGTTTTTTAACAAAATAATAGATGTTAGGTATCTCTTTAACACTATTAAAAGAAATTCAACTAATATAGAACTAAGAGATGTATGAATTAAAATCTCATATTAAGTATAAATAAAAAAGTTAAATAATTTATAAGTGAAAAAAATTATAATGTAATATGTTGGATTAAAGATGATATCATATTTTTCTATGGTTGACTCATGTCACATTTTGATAATCTCTATATATTAATTATAAGGATATCTAAATAGGCTTAACTCAATTGATTGATCCGAAAGGTTCGAGAAATATGTTAAGTTAAATAAAAATATATATGGGTTACTTTAAATCATGTACACGTAAGTCATGATCTACATGAACTTAGGTCAAACTAACCCGTAGATTTATAGATTGACTTGTTTTATAGAATAATAATAATTTTTTAAATAATAAAAATATTATTTTATTAAAAACATATGTATTATAGATTAATTTGATAGGGATCCCTTATTCTAAGAGTAAATATTAGATTAAATCTTTAACAATTACTTGTTTCAAGATCTAATGATTAAGATTAATTATTATTTTAAATTAATAAATTACTAAAAAATAAATATTGATAATAAAGAGTAAGTTTTTAATTCTTATTTTGATATTGAATTGATGTATTATCTTATAATTTATATATTAAATTATTATATCTTAAATTTATATTAATTTTACTAATAAAAATAGTTTTAAAAAATATATTTTTATTTTTATTTAAAAATATTTTTTTAATTAATTGATTTGTTATAGATATATTAATTTAAAAAAAATAATTAAGTCTAAATTCATTCATTAATCTATTGGTTTAATATAAAGTTAGATTAGACTAAAATTTTGGTCAATTATAAAATATAAATTATGCTGAACTATTAATTTTTTTTTTTACTTGGGTCGTAGGGTCAGGTCAAACTAGATTTGACCACCCGTTTTAATAGTTCTAGTTAGTCTCCTCAAATTATACAGTAGACTCATGTTTCAAATTTTTCTCGTTTCTTTTATATTCTTTTTTACAAAAATTCCAAAATTTTCTTAGGTGACTTAATGATTATGATTCTTAGAAAGATCATTTATTTTTATTTTTTTGAAAAAAATGGCAAAATTTTATAGAATACTATTAAAGAAACATAACTTAATTCTCATTTTAGTTGGATTTGATGAAATTTCAGGACAATAAATAAATAATTTAATTTTTTTTTTAAATCTAATAGAATGACAATTCTTAAAATAGTGGAAGGGAGTTATGATTTCCTAAATTTTTTATTTTCATTAATATTTATATAAATAATATAATTTATTCTATTTAATTTATATGTTAAATTTTTATTGAAACTCCCAACCTACATAGCGCAGGTCTTTTATTACTAGTAGATAAGATTGCATTCTTACCCTATAAATCGTAACTTCTTTATATAAAAATTGTAAAAATATTTGTTTCCATTCTACGTGTCTATATTATATAGAAAAATTTCAATCATATTTTATATATAAAATAAAAATGTAATAAAATATTAAATAATGATAATATTTTAATTTTCATTTCTCAAATTAAATAATAATTTAATGTATTTTTCTTTTTCCTCTCTGAACAATATTTAAAAAACTGAAATATGAAATAAAAATAAAAATTAATTTAAATAAAAAACAATTAAGTAAGAATTCTTAAAGAACTTATTTTTTTTATTTGGGTCGTAGGGTCAGGTCAAACTAGATTTGACCACCCGTTTTAATAGTTCTAGTTAGTCTCCTCAAATTATACAGTAGACTCATGTTTCAAATTTTTCTCGTTTCTTTTATATTCTTTTTTACAAAAATTCCAAAATTTTCTTAGGTGACTTAATGATTATGATTCTTAGAAAGATCATTTATTTTTATTTTTTTGAAAAAAATGGCAAAATTTTATAGAATACTATTAAAGAAACATAACTTAATTCTCATTTTAGTTGGATTTGATGAAATTTCAGGACAATAAATAAATAATTTAATTTTTTTTTTAAATCTAATAGAATGACAATTCTTAAAATAGTGGAAGGGAGTTATGATTTCCTAAATTTTTTATTTTCGTTAATATTTATATAAATAATATAATTTATTCTATTTAATTTATATGTTAAATTTTTATTGAAACTCCCAACCTACATAGCGCAGGTCTTTTATTACTAGTAGATAAGATTGCATTCTTACCCTATAAATCGTAACTTCTTTATATAAAAATTGTAAAAATATTTGTTTCCATTCTACGTGTCTATATTATATAGAAAAATTTCAATCATATTTTATATATAAAATAAAAATGTAATAAAATATTAAATAATGATAATATTTTAAT